ACCTTTTAATTTTACTGCAGAGGTTGGCTGCTTAAATTCCTGTGGTACTATTTCAGGACGTACTAAACACAGTTCTGAACCTGTGTCTCTGAGTCCTTTCCTGTTCTTGTTGTTAATATTGATGGATTCTAAGTATTCTTCATATGGGCTGCCTGACAAGATGAGCAAACATCGTTTCTCTTGTGGCTCCAAGCTTGAATTCTCCTTCGAAACAGTATCCCGTTCTGCCTGTGGGGTATCTCTCATCTTGCTCACAAAGAGGGTTGCTTTTTCTTTCCTTAACAGAGGACATTGATATTTTATATGATCAAATTCTCCACATTGGAAGCACCGTCTTTTTACCTCAGGAGCGGTTTGTCTTGTTACACCCTGCCTCCTATAGATGGTGTTTTCTAAGTCAGAACCCTTTTCTGGCTGTGAGCGCGTTTGATGTGAATAAAATGGTGGCTTATTTGCTTTTCTTTCACTTGGTGGATCTTCTCTTTTAAATCCCTCTTTTAAGGTTGTAATTTGATCTGCCATAACCGCTGCCTCTACAACAGTGGCTGGCTTGCGATCTTGAATCACCCACCGAATATCAAAAGGCAATATTTGAAAAAACTGCTCCAGCTTCAAAAGTTCCCTCAGCTGTTGAAAATCCTCCACCTCAGACGTTCTTATCCAACTATCAAACAGTTGAGATAGTCTTGAGGCCACCTGAGCAAAACTTTGAGCTTTATCTTTTCTTATTGTCCTGAACTTAAATCTATAATATTCAGGAGTCAATCTAAATTCCTGTTGAACCTGCTTCTTAAACAGATCATAGTCTCCATAAGATTCCTCAGTCATCTGCCCATAAATCTGCAAAAGTTTCCCACTTATTTTTGGCCTTAGGTATGTCATCCATCTTTCTTTAGCCACATCAAAATCTCGACAACATCTCTCAAAAGATATTAGGAATTTCTCTGGATCATCGTCTTTGTTGAATTTTGGGAATTTCTTCATCAAATCTGGGGTATTTCCTCCAGATCTTCCCTCCTGGGTTCCACTGGCTGTTTGAGACAAAGCCAATCTTTGTTTCTCTAGCTCAAACTCCATTCTCTTCAATTCTAACTCCTGTTCCAATTCTCTCACTCTCTGTCTTTCTTCAAACTCTCTCTGTTTTGCCTCTTTCTCCATTTCAAGTTCTCTTTCTCTCTGTCTCTCTTCCATCTCGATTTGCAATCGTTTCATCTCTAACTTGTACTTAAAAGCCATCTCTGAGAAAGGCATCGGCTCATCTGTTTCAGAGCTCGAATTTTCCTCTACTCTTTCCTCAGCTAGCTTTCTCTGCCGCCTGGTAGCCATTTTTTAGCAACTTTTACCTCACAACTTATTTTAAAATTAAACTTAAGGCACTCGATTAGTTGTTACACGAATCCCGTCGTCTGCCACCAAATTTGCGAAGCCGCGTCCCCACCGCTCGTTACTACAATTCGAAGCCGTTCACTTGCTGCCACCAAAATATGTGAAGTAGTCTCCAAAAATCAAATAATGGCGTGAAATCCCAACTAAATAGGATCACCACACAAATGTAATGAGAATTTGAGACTTCTAGGTTAAGCTGCCACCCTAATATAAAGAGATATTGGTAATATAATCTCTGTTTCTTCTTATCTGGGTTGTGAGGCCACTTTGGTAGTGTGGATTGTGCAAAACGTTGAAATCAATGGATGAGGCAGGTTTTAAAACACAAAGAGAACAGATTTATTGTCGGAGCGTAACTGTTGCAATATTAACTGTTGAACTTGGCACAAGCTTGATGGTTACAAATATGGCTTAGTTGAGATACATTCAGGTGATGTTACAATTCTTTGACTTCTTCTACAATGAGGTGCTTTAATATTTCAGTTCCCTATTGTGAATATTTACAACTGTTTGTCCTACACAGGATCAAACTAGCGATCTCCAGCCATTCACCACTGGGATCCCTAAACCTCTTTCTTGTTAGATTCTTTCTTTACTCAAGCAATCTAACGAGGTTTCACCTCCAGCTTCCTAGCTGGAATAATATTCACAAATCCTAAGAACTGGCTGAATTTACACTACACCACAGAGCCTCAACTGACTCTGCCCCTCAGGGTTTCATTCCCCTAACTGAACTATTATCCCAGAGTCCCCTTTGACTCTGTCCTTCAGGGTCTCATCCGCCTGACAGACTTTAAACTGTCGTTTTCAAACCTTTCCTACTTAAGCTCTGCCCACCTCCTCTGGCCTGTCACCATGGCAACCTATCTCTCTCAGCTAGGTCATGGCTACAATGTAAAGCATAAACACAGTTTAAAACACAGTTATAATAGACACTTCTCTACAGGGCCCAATAAAAATGTCTGATGGGTGTATGACAAAACATTTATCGTCATTTTTCAAAGACTGCACTGTAGTGGTCATTATTTTTAAGTTCTTATTCACTTTACTTTTGTGTTTGTGTGCCTCTTGATGGACAACAGACAATATTTATAAGGCATCAGTTGACTCGTAATACAGTTGGCCCTTCATATTTGCAGGTTTGACTTTTGATTATTTGTGAATTTGATTAAAATGCGTTCTCTAGGAATCTCTAGGTCCTTCAGTGAGACTCTATGGCCAAGCTCTAATAGAAGTTCATGATAGAGTCATCCTGGAGGAGCTAGAGATTCCTAGAGGGAATAAGTCCCTAGCAATCTCTGGGTCCTCCTGTGTGATTCTATGATCAACTTCTGTCAGAAGTCAGTCTGGAGGACCTACTCAGATGTTCTCTCGGAAAAAAGCCCCCAATCTTTTTTTTTTTTTTTAAAAAAAACACAGTTGTTCTACTTTTGCATGGGGCCTATATGTCTAAATCCAATCAATGTGGAGAGTCAACTGCTTTGTGCAGGAATCCTACACTGCAAAAAGCGAAGTGATGTAGTCAAGTAGACCTATCCCATTTACAGAAGCAGGATGCCAGTGTGGTCAAATTGCTGCCTAGTTCAACATTTGTATAGGGAGACATGTCTGTGGTCTGGTTGGCAATCTAAGATGTGTATGTGATTTGGCAAAATAATTATATTTTGGCACCTGGTGCCTATGTCATTGGGATGGTAAAATCTACTTCAGGTATAGTATTCTGGTGGACCAATCCAAGGTGCTGAACGTGTTTGGGGCCTAGGGTTCAGCATCCTGAGTAGTTTTTTTTAATCAAACTAAAATTTAGATTCATCACATCATCAGCATGGATCCACCAGCAACCACTAAACCACTATTAAAATTCAGGAAACATACTTGTTACGCAACCTGTTCTTCAAAGATAAAATATCTTTGAAGTATTATGTAACACACAATGAAACACGATGAGAAAGGCATTATGTTTGGATTAGAAGAGCAACCCATTATTCTGGTTTAAAGCTCTTTGCTGAAGAACATCAACAGATGTCACTTATGTTCTCAGAGAGGAATATAAACATTCGGAAACCTCTTAAGGGCTTGCACTTCTTACAAAATGGGACAATACCACACTTGTAACATGAAAGGAATTGAAGTGGCAGAACTACAGGATTTGTACAAGAAGTTTGTTGTAGAATGTCCCAGTGGTGGTCTTTATCTGCATGAATTCAAGCAGTTTTTTGGCATCACCAGCCAGAGTGAGGCATCGGAATATGCTGAAAGTGCATTTAAATCCTTCGACAGGAATGGGGTGAGTTTTAGTTTAAAAGAGTGTTGAATATAGGAGATTTCCTTGTGGGTGGATTTAGATCGCTATGGTGTCTGATTTCCCAGACATACCACACAAATGCAGTGCTTCTTCTGCTCTTTTGGGCTATTTATATTTTGGTATGCTTCCTAATAAAAGTTTTGGAATTATTTCTCTTTTAACATTTCAGGATAATAAGATAGACTTTTTGGAATATGTAGCAGTTTTAAATCTAGTTCTAAGAGGCAAACTTGAGCACAAACTGAAATGGTTATTTAAAGTGTATGATACAGATGGAAATGGCTTTCTTGACAAGCATGAACTACAGAAAATGCTCAAGGTAATTTTTTTTTGTATTTAATGTTTTAAATTTAAGATAATTTTGAGTTTTGTTGTTGTTGTTGAACAGGAGAGTCAAAGTAGTATCTTAGGGCACACCAAGCTATGGGACTGGTTGAGTCTATTCACATGTCACTAATATCAATTGCAAAAATGGCTTTTAGATCAGATGTATAGCTGGATGAAAAACAAATAACTGTATGGCATCTAGACTAAGCTCCTTGGAGCAAAGATGTGTCCTTTCTATTTTTGTATATATAATACAAAACTGGCACTTTAAGGCTCATATATTAATATATTATAGTATTAAAATATTACTGATGTGCTGTGCTAATAATATAATATATTGTATACACATATAATATTGATAATATTTTAATGTAATACAATGTAATACTACTACTAAAATTATATTTTTATATTACATGTAATATTACTAATAATATTACAGTATAGTGATATAGTATTATATAGTAATACATAATATTAATATTGTGCTGTGCTAATAATATAATATATTGTATACACATATAATATTAATAATATAATACTAACAATAATATAATACTAACAATAATACAGTATAATAATTGTATATTTCATATTACATGTAATATTACTAATAATATTACAGTATATTCCCGTGTAGTACAATATAGGAATGTATATTGTGCTATGCTAATAATATAATAGTGTCTACATTAAATATATATTTTTTCAGAGTGTCTATAATGTCAAACAAGGATGGACAAGAAACACAGATACTCAGCTGTCATCCCCAGAAGATGTATGTGACAAGATATTTCAGCTAATGGATGAAAACAAAGATGGTAAATATATTATTTATATTTTCCACTTTTCAAAATTGTATTTGTATCTCTGTTTAGCAATGTATTTTTCCTAGGTATACAACATAAACCATGCTGGGGAAAGTGGGACGGAAATGTCATGCTCAGTTCTAATTTCAGTCTTACTGCCATGATTATCAACAGTCAAGGTTGTTTCTCTTCCAACCACCTGTAGTCTAAGCTATACACCTTAATTAAGGCAGAACTGGCTTTTACGTGTAGATGGTTGCCAGCAGATGGAAAAAGATATAAACTCCACTTACATAATTTCCAACAGACTTCATAACCTCTGAGGATGCCTGCCATAGATGTGGGTGAAATGTCAGGAGAGAATACTTCTGGAACATGGCCATACAGCCAGAAAAACTCACAGCAACCTAGTGATTCTGGCCATGAAAGTCTTCGACAACACAAGATATAATGAATTTGCCTTTCCATTTTGGGGGGTATTTTGGTGTTAAACAATTTCAGGTACACTTCCAACCTACTTTAAAAGATAAATTCCCATTCTTGAAGACTTCTTGTAGAGAAGAGCCGCAATTCACCTTTTGGGAAGAGGGTAAAAAAAGGGTGATCAAGCAAGTCTGGAAGAATCGTGGAGGCCCTGGGATGTCATTTGCTTTCTGAGGACCATACATTGCCCATTAATGTCTAGCAAACTGGCATCACCATCACAAACACAGGTGAAAATAGTTCAATTTTAAATATATATTTTGTATGCTGAAGGTCACAAATTACACCTTTGACATCTACTTCCCTGGCAAGTCTAATAAAGGATGTTACAGGAAATGCCAGAAAGCCACTGCCAATCACTATTTTCAGTGATTGGATTTAAAGCAAGGCCACGTCCTATGTTCCCAAACTACAGTAGAGTCTTGCTTATCCAACCTTCGCTCACCCAACGTTCTGTATTATTCAACGCAGTCTGCCTCCTGCCTGGAACCACAGGTGTTTCAATACATTGCTATGTTTTGGTGCTAAATTCATAAATACAGTAATTACTACATAATGTTACCATGTATTGAACTGCTTTTTCTATCAATTTGTTGTAAAACATGATGTTTTTGTGCTTAATTTGTAAAATCATTTGACGTTTTATAGGCTTTTCCTTAATCCCTCCTTATTATCCAACATTTTTGCTTCTCCAACATTCTGCCCGTTTATGTTGGATAAGCGAGACTCTACTGTATGTGTTCTACAATGGCTTGTGAAAGAGCTTGTACGACTACATATTAAAATAGTTTGTTACCATTTGTAACTCTTCATTCTAATAGACTTATAGTGCTAGACATGCAGCCCCTGCCCATTTTCCACCTACAAACAATAGAAATTTTGCACTGGCGGAAGGACATTAGTGGATACAGCCTGCTGCTTCCTAAAAAGTCTATGATTGTTTTGTTTTTATACTGCTAGGCACAATGCAATGAGTTCTGTGGATGTTCATGGATGCCTGCTTCCATTCAAGCAAGCCTGGAAAATAACAGCTCAACCTTACATGTTTATTCAGAAGAAAGCCCTCAATATTCAGCGGGGCTTTCCCTTATAAAGATGTTCTGGATCCCAGTCTACATTATTTATCTTGTGAAACTAGGAAAACATGGCCCATTGCACGGAGCAGTGTTAAGCTTCCATGAAAACATCCTAGCTAAGTAGACAATGCAACTTATCCCAATTCAATTTTTGAAAGGAAACTTTTGAGTTCCTCACTGCTGCTACAAAAATGCAACTGTCATTGGGAGGAGCATAAGGGTCAGGAGCATGTGAAAAAATGGTTTAATTTTGATATCAAGATCGTCTGGGGAGGCCCTGCTCTCGGTCCCGCCCGCATCGCAGGCGCGGTTGGCGGGGACGAGAGACAGGGCCTTCTCGGTGGTGGCCCCTCGGCTATGGAATGCCCTACCTGTGGACATCAGACAGGCCCCTTCATTGCTGGCATTCCGGAGGAAGGTCAAGACTTGGCTTTACGAACAAGTGTTTGGCTAATAATGCAATGAAATACAGTAATATGGTACAATTGATCACAGGAATTGGTATAAAGGATTATGATTACGGATTCTGATTCTGATTTGTTTGCTGAGGCGTATATCTAGGATTATGATTGTTTTGACCTGATGTTTTGTATAATGTGTTTTAACTGCCTTGTTGTTGTTGTTGTGTTGACCTTTACTATGTAAACCGCCTTGAGTCGCCATTTCGGCTGAGAAAGGCGGTATAGAAGTAAAGCAAATAAATAAATAAATTTTGCAGTTTGTTTATAGCAACTGATAGTTCAGCTTCAGGAAATTGCAAGATTAGCATGCCTTCCTCCTCCCAATTTCAGTGATGGGGAAAAGGAGGTAGAAAAAACAATGCTCATCTATTTCTTTGCTCTATTTCCCATGTAAAGGTCAGCACTGAGGAAAATATTGATGGAAGGAGAATGTTTATCATCTCCAAAGTCTGACAGGAAAGAGCAGTCAAAGTTTGCTTTTAATTTTGCAGTCTTCGGGCAGTTTCCTTATAGGCCTTGACTGAAAAACAAAAGTGTTATTGGTATGGGGTTCCTGGATTATAACCTAATTTTCTTGAAAGACTCTATGGCTAGTGTCTGACACTCCTGCTCTAAAGCAATCCTACCAACCTTCTCTGAGGTATACATACTGATGACCACATCCATAAATGGTTTAAGCTGTTACTAAATTCCGAACATGTAAATTTTCTCTATTTTTCCAGGAAAGCTTTCCCTGAAAGAGTTTATTGATGGAGTGCAGCAAGATGATTGGATAAGGAAGATGCTAAGTGTAGAAATAAACCCAACAAAATGGATCCTTGAACATCGGGATAAAAGGCAGCAGTAGTAAATGCAATAAGCAAACAATACTGGTTGTGGTGTGAACATGAATAATTTTTTCTGGGTGGCAATACAATCAAGGAAATAAGAGGTACTATTTCAAAGGCATTACTTTTTAAACCGGACCAAAGCATTATATTCCTTAAAATCTGTTTACATTTCTATACAGTTTGAAATTGAGAGGGGAGATAGCTTAAAATCTTACCTGTTAGAACTATCCACATATGCATGGAAATATGAATAGTCTTTATTTCATTGTCTTTATTACCGCAATTGTGTTTACTGCAATGTTTTCCCCCCTTTTTAATGTCACTTTGATGATGATGTTGTTGTTTGTTGTATATGTTTTGATTTTATTGCTGTATTATGTTTTGATTTTATTGCTGTATTATGTTGTCCGGGCTTGGCCCCATGTAAGCCGCTCTGAGTCCCCATTGGGGAGATGGTGGCGGGGTAGAAATAAAGTTTATTATTATTATTGCAGCTTCTAAATGCAATCAAAAGGCTCCCTTATAATTCTCACAACTGTTTGGTCCATATAGCTATAACTAATAGATCTAACCTATTTCTTCACCTCCTATATAAACATGCACTGGGTTGCAGCTTCCAAATGTAATCAAACGGCTCCCTTATAATTGTCACAACTATTTGGCCCATATAGCTAAAATCGTACCCTCGTCTTACCTCTCTGTTTCTAGCCCTTCTGTTTTCTGTGATTTACTTATACTGAGATTCCACATCAAGTTCCTTCCTTCTTGCTTTTTCTATTATACAAAGCAATCCTTCCTCATCTTCTCCTATGTTCTGGACATAGATGAGAAATAGCTGCAAACTGCCTGAGTTGCTTTATCAGCACCTATTTGGTTGGGGGCTGTAACTTGTTTGCAAAAACAGTTTTATGACTGTTGCTGGATTGCTGGTTCAGAATTTCAAGGGACCAGTATTGTTTTGGGTATAGCAGTGCATGTATATGTGGTTGTTTCTATACTGTAATGCCTATTTAGCTCAAACATTTGCAAATAAACAGCTTATTAAAAAAATCTCAAAGCTTTCTCTAACAGTCACTTATTAAGCAATGCTTAACTCAGCTCTCTTTAAAGAGGTCAGTGCAAATATTATGCAATTCTGTTAATAGCTAGAAATACAGTGAGTACCAAGGCAAGTGACGAATGACCCACTGTGGCCCTCTAGATGCAGTTCGCCAGATAAAAAAGGTAATAAGGAGGAAATATGCAGCCACAGAACATCTGGAGAGGAGAATTTGCCTCTAAAAAGCCGAGTTAGAAGATATACCTCTGGCACCAACTTCTGCTCTGGCCAAAGTGGTGAGAGAAGGGGGCAGAAGACAGTTCCATTTTGTCTCCTGTACTTTACTAATATAATATAATATAATATATTGTATATACATATATTTATAATATTATAATGTAATACAATATAATTCCACTACTACTAATACAATATTATAATTATATATTTCATATTACATGTAATATTACTAATAATATTACAATATAATGGTATAGTACAATATAGTAATATATAATACTGATATTCTACTATGCTAATAATATAATATAATATAGTGTGTGTGTGTATATATATACATATATTGTAAGCCATTCTGAGTCCCCTTTGAGGTGAGAAGGGTGGCATATAAATGTTGCAAATAAATAAATAAATAAATAAATGTTCACGAAGGGCAACAAAGGCCTAATCTCCAGGCTCTATAAATATATTTCAGAATACAACTTAGTAGACAACCAGATAAAAACTGCTATGATTACGTGGGCCAAAGATTTAAGTAGAAATATTATTTTAGAAGAATGGGGACATCTTTGGAAAAAGGGGTTTTAATTTTCAGTGGCCGGCTCAGTTAGAGAAAATGTGTTTTATAGAACTTACATAACTCCAGAGTTATTGGCTAAAACAGAGAAAACAGGACGAGGGGCTTGCTGGAGATGTAAGCAGGTGAAGGGATATTTTTTCCACGTATGGTAGATGTGTAACATAGTTTAAGAATTCTGGAAAAAAGTGGTGAAACAAACAAATAATATGATTTACAAAAAGATCAAGAAAAAACAGGAAATGTGCTTATTAGTACTATTTAGAAGGTGGATTAGCGCAGGAGATGAAGAAATTTGTCAACATTGCTTTGTTGCTGTGAGACTAATAATAGCCAAAACATGGACGAACCCAGTGGGTGCTCACCAATTCTTCCTCTTCATCCTGCAAAGAAGTGACGAGCGGAGTGCCGCAGGGCCTGTTGCAGTTTGTTAGTTTTTACATTGAAATTACACAGCAGTCTTCCCAGCTCCAGGCACCAAGTTGAAAATACACAGAATATAAAAGAAAAAATGTCTTTACTCTTGAGTAGTCAACACATGTATTTTATAAAGGAAAAATACAGTAGCCTTGAAAACACATTGTCCACATTGTCCATCGCAGAAGGAAAAAAAACTTACAAAACAATGCATTAATCTGCTTCTTTCCAGCAAACCTTGTAGTGTAGTTCCATCTCTGATTACTTCATTTCACCCACTACCTGCATCAAGAAATCTTCACCTGATATACATCCTAATCAGGGAGTGGTTCTTCCTCAACACACACATATACTGAAGAGATGATTCTTGTCAAGACTTACAAAACCATATACTGTAACACGGTCCTCTTCAACATCTTTATTAATGACTTAGATGAAGGGCTAGAAGGCAGGATCATCAAGTTTGCAGACGACACCAAATTGGGAGGGATAGCCAATACTCCAGAGGACAGGAGCAGGATTCAAAACGACCTTGACAGATTAGAGAGATGGGCCAAAACTAACAAAATGAAGTTCAACAGGGACAAATGCAAGATCCTCCACTTAGGCAGAAAAAACGAAATGCAAAGATACAGAATGGGGGATGCCTGGCTCGAGAGCAGTACATGTGAAAAAGATCTTGGAGTCCTCGTGGACAACAAGTTAAACATGAGCCAACAATGTGATGTGGTGGCAAAAAAAAAAACCAATGGGATTTTGGCCTGCATCAAGAGGAGCATAGTGTCTAGATCTAGGGAAGTAATGCTACCCCTCTATTCTGCCCTGGTTAGACCACACCTGCAATATTGTGTCCAATTCTGGGCACCACAGCTGAAGGGAGATGTTGACAGGTTGGAATGTGTCCAGAGGAGGGCGACTAAAATGATCAAGGGTCTGGAGAACAAGCCCTATGAGGAGCGGCTTAAGGAGTTGGGCATGTTTAGCCTGAAGAAGAGAAGACTAAGAGGAGATATGATAGCCATGTATAAATATGTGAGAGGAAGCCACAGGGAGGAGGGAGCAAGCTTGTTTTCTGCTTCCCTGGAGACTAGGACGCGAAACAATGGCTTCAAACTACAAGAAAAGAGATTCCATCTGAACATTAGGAAGAACTTCCTGACTGTGAGAGCCGTTCAGCAGTGGAACTCTCTGCCCCGGAGTGTGGTGGAGGCTCCTTTTTTGGAAGCTTTTAAACAGAGGCTGGATGGCCATCTGTCAAGGGTGACTTGAATGCAATATCCCTGCTTCTTAGCAGGGGGTTGGACTGGATGGCCCATGAGGTCTCTTCCAACTCTTTGATTCTGTGGAAGGGGGAAAAAAGAGTTAACTATTAAAGATTGGTGAGTTAAAATAGTAGATTATATCCAAATGGCCAAAGTGACAAATAGCAGCAGAGGGGGAAATAATGAAGAATTTGCAAAAAAATGGAGGCTGGCACTTTAGTATATCCAGCCCTTTTATTTATTTTGTATCAAAAGCACTGCATAAATTACTTAAATAAAAGCACTGCAATGTTTGTGTGTGTCAGGAGTGACTTGAAAAACTGCAAGTCACTTCTGGTGTGGGAGAATTGGCTGTCTGCAAAGCTGTTTCCCTGGGGGTGACTGGATGTTTTGATGTTTTACCATCCTTGCAGGAGGCTTCTCTCATGTCCCCTCATTGGAAGCTGGAACTGACAGAGGGAGCTCATCTGTGCTCTGCTCGAATTCGAACCTCCGACCTGTCAGTCTTTAGTCCTGCCGGCACAAGGGTTTAACCCACTGCTCCACTGGGGCTTCCTAAAGCATTGCATAAACAGATAAAAATTGAAGGAGCACAAGCGGCTAAATATCTTTTGACCAAAAATGCAAGTTGTTTCATAAAGATCAAGTAGACAGAACATATTGTAAAGAACAAAAATAACTTTCTGGCCTTGCATCGCACATTTTAGTGCAAATATGAAGACAGAAATAGTGTTCAATTCAGCAAGTATTGCAGAATGTCATGCCACAGTCCACTTTTGACCAAAAACGGGCAACAGCGACCGTATTGTCTGTAGCCTCAAACAATTCATCCTTTGTAAATGAGGCAGGACACTGCGGACAAGCATACAGATGCGGAGTGGTCTGTTCTGCTCCACAGTTGCACAAGGAATCCAGCCCTAAAGATGCATGTATTTTCCTCCTTCTTCTTCCCTTCCTGCTTCTCCTTTGAAAAGAAATAAACTGCATATAAGAACAACAGTGGTTCCCACAACCTTTGGACTTCAACTCCCAGAAGCCTCAGCGAGCACGGCCAACTATCAGGCCTTCTGGGAATTGAAGTCTAAAAGAGCAGCTGCACTCCTCCCTTCCCTTCTCCACCTTCTTGCTATGAGCCTCGGCGGCCACTAGGGGCCGCTCTCAGACCAGGGGATTGGCAAGTGTTTGGAGACGCGCAGGGAAGAAGCCAGAGGGGCGAGAGCGGCTCAGGTGTCAGCCCCGCCTCCCTCTCCTCCGATTGGCCGCGCTTTGGCCTGCGTCGTGACGTAGGCAAGGCTCGGGCTCTGGCCGCCGCCGTCACGGAGAAGCTCCCGGTGCGCGGCCGCTGCGTCGCTGGTTCCCGGGATGAGTGTCGGGCCCGCTTCACCGGGAGGCCGGAGCGGGCCAAGGCGGAGCTAGCGGCGAGGACTGCGAGAACCGGCCTCGGACGCCCTGGCGCCGCCCCTTGCGCCTCCCTGAGGGGAACCAGCGCGCCAGGTGAGTGCGCCCTCCCCCGCCTATCGGTTCCACAAAGGGTCGCCTCACGCCCCGGCCGGAAGCACGTGACTTTCGAGGCCCCGCCCCTTAAAGGTCTCAGCCACTCTCCTTCCGGGCGACCCCGACGCTAGTCCTCCAGGTCCTTTGGACTTCAACGCCCAGAAGAACCAGAGGCCTTGATCAATGATGAGGGAGCGGAAGTCCTGAACACCTGGAGGACTGGACTTTGGGAAACACTGTCACCTTCCCGTGGAACTTAGAAAGAGGAGCGTAGATTGGATGCGGTTTATTTATTTATTTACTTGTATACCGCAGTTTACAACAAGTCAGTATACATAATAGCAAAATACAGGTTAAGACAATATAAAACCGCAATAAAAACAATAAAAACAAACATAATTATCATCAGTATCTCCTAGTTAAAAGCGTCCAAATTCCATTTTCAGTCATTCCATTTCCTAGGTCAGTTACTCTGCATTTGTACCATGTCTTAACTTGTCTCCGAAACATTAAGAGTGATGGAGCCGATCTAATTTCCTTAGGGAGGCCGTTCCATAGCTATGGGGCAACCACACAGTAGGCCCTGTCTCTTGTCCCCACCAAATATACTTGTGATGAAGGCGGGATCGAGAGCAGGGCCTCCCGGGGCAATCTTAAAGTCCTAGATGGTTCATAAGGGGAGATGCGTTCGGACAGGTGTCTGGAGTTCCCCTTTTCAGAGTGTTTATTTACTGTCCCGATTTTAGAATTTTTAATACTGGTAGCCAGATTATGTTCGGTTTCCTCCTTCCTGTTGAAATTGTTGACATGCTGGAGCCAAGTGTGAATGTTACAATTGGCCAACTTGATTAGCATTTAATGGCCTTGGAGCTTCGAAGCCCGGCTGCTTCAGTGCTAATCAAGGAGGCCAGCCACAATATTCACAGACAAGAGTTCTTTCTTTCACCCTGGACACTCCAGAGATACAAAAACCCACCCAACCAGCCCCCAACCCCAGAGAGTGCCCACCACAGATGCGGGAGGAACACCAAGAGAGAACACCCCTGGAACATGGCCACACAGTCCGGAAAACGCACAGCAATCCTATCTGTGTATGTTTGTACATACACTCATACAAAGTCACTTTGACATCGCTTTAAGTGGCATGTCTCAATGCTATGGAATCCTGGGGTTTGTGTTTTTTTTTTTACAAGGCCTTTGGCCTTTCCTACCCAAGAATGCGAGTGCCTGATCAAACTACAACTCCCATGATTATGTAGCATTGAGCCATGGCAGTTAAAGTAGTATCAAACTGCCTTAATTCAACAGTGTAAATCAGACCTGGGCAAACTAGAGCCCTCTCTCCAGGTGCTTTGGACTTTAACTCCCACCATATCCTAACAGCTTCAGGCCCTTTCCTTTTACCCCTCAGCTGCTTAAGCAGTGGGAGTTGAAGTTCAAAACACCAGGAGGGCACAAGTTGGCCCATTCCTGGTTTAGATACCTACTGTCAAGGTGCTTAGGGCTGGGTGGGGCCGACTCCCAAACATGCCAGGATTGCAGTTACAAGCTGCTACTCAGATATCCATAGAGAAAAACAGCTATGTGGCTGCTCTCCAGACTTCAAATCGAGAGAAACATTTGCATTTAGTTCTTAAGCACGTTTCTTTAGGAAGAACCACATTTTAGTTAAGTAGCCTTTATGCCTCAATAGCAGCCGGCGTGATGTAGTGGTTGGATTATGGTTCAAAGACTTGCTCATCCATAGAAACTCACTGGGCAGCCTTGGGCAAGTCATACCCTCTCAACCTCAAGAAAGGCAAGGGCAAAGCTCTTTGGAACAAATCTTGTCTTCGGATACCCATAGGCCAGAAACAATATGAAGGTACACAACAGGAACAACAGCAATTGTGTTTAGGATCATCTTGCAGATCTAAAATACTTGAAAATTTGAAATTGTCCACATGGGTAGCAGGGATACTGACAGCTTTGTTTTCTGATGGTTTGCTGCATGTAAACTTTGTACATAACTATGCACAACATTATTAATAATTATGCATACAGCTATTAATCATTGCTGTATAAAATTACCTTCTATCTATGTGTGTTAGGTATATAAGAAATATAAATGAATTTTATGTTTAGACTTTAGGATATTTCACTACGTACATACAGATATTACAAAATTTGAAAATTTCAAAACATTTCAGGTCCTAGGCATTTCAGAGAAAGTGATACTCATATTTGAGTAGCCTCTGGTGGCACAAGGGATTAAACCAGTGATTCTCAGCTTGTGGGTCCCCAGATGTTTTAGCCTTCAACTCCCAGAAATCCTAACAGCTGGTAAACTGGCTGGGATTTCTGGGAGTTGTAGGCCAAAACACCTGGGGACCCACAGGTTGAGAACAGCTGGGTTAAACCCTTGTGTCTGCAGGACTGGTTGTCCAACAAGGTTGGTGGTTTGAATCTGGGGAGTGGAGTAAACTCCCATCCATCGAGCTCTAGCTTTTCATGTGGGCACATGAGAGAAGCTTTCCTCAAGGATGGTAAAACATCAATCATCTGGGTGTCCCCCAGGCAACACCATTGGAGAAGGCCAATTATCTTACACCAGAAGCGACTTGCAGTTTCTTGAGTCGCTTCTGACACGAAAAAAAATCTGTATTTAATTTTGCTAGTCTTCATGCCATGCATTATTCCTTGTTTTGGGAAGGTTGTGTGTGTGTGTTAGTGGAAGGATGCAGTATATAATTAGGCTGTGTATGCATTAAAATACTTGCACTTCATGATTCCATATTTCCCAGTGTTTCCATTCAAACTGTTGTAACACATTTTTATAAGCATAGCTTTATTATTCATTAGAAAGACACTCATGGAGACTTACCAGGGCATAGGTCCTGCTGAATTCAGTGAGACTAATTTCTAAGTAGAAAAGATGGTTGTTGGAAAGTGGATTACAGTATAACTCAGGCAACTGGTAAAAAAATCAAAGAAATAATACTTTAAATAAAAGTTTAAATCCTGATTATCCTGATTTGAGTAAACTCTCTACCCCAATGTAATAGTTTAAGCCTTTGTGTGTATGTGTTTTCTAAGTTACTTGAAGTAAAAAATACATGTTTTTATTTACTTCCATTTAATTAAAATTGCATATTGCATTCTCAAAGCTGTTTCTATAATGCTGTAATTTTTTTACATTAAGTTAGGTTTGACTTTGTCTTTATTTGCTTTTAATTACTATATTTCAATATTAACATCAAATCAATACAGTGTTTATGGTTTGGTGTAGAATGGGCTATTATATTGCAATAGTTAGGACTATTTTAGTCCTAACTCTAAAGCAACCAGAAACTACATTTGCCTGGCCTCTACTAATACACATGGGTGCTGGTTAGCTGAGAGACTACTGTATATATGTATTTCCTGTTGTGGTGCAGTGGAAAAAATGGGATTCAAGATACTAAGAAATCTCCCACCCACTTCACCACCATTTAAGATGAAATACAAATATATAATAACATGGTTTGTCTTTGGAAAGAAGAATGCTCTTTATCCACTGTGCTCTCAAAAAACACAGTAATTAGATTACAGTGAATTTGGTGGAATTAAAATCTGCTATTACTTCAGAAAGAAATAATGAAAAAGGAACACACACATACACACACCCTCCCAACAGAAACAGATGAGTTTGAAGAGGGATTTGTAATTGGAAGGAGATAGTTGGTTTGCTGATTATGGTGGTCAGACCAAAGTAATGGCCATCTGTGGGCTTTGCTTTTAAATGCCATGCATACATTTGGGCATTATAAATAGTTCGGAGCTTTATCACTGACAATCCAAAAAGGGATCTATAAAGGACAAAAAGGGACTGGATTCTTCTTCTGTATATTTTCTCTCTCTTACCTCTCTTTTTTGTAGTTGATGACAGTGATTTATTAAATAACTTGTTCCTTCAAAAACAAATAACTTGTGTTAGAAGACACAAAACAGTAAAAACACTACCTCTGTAATGTCAAAGATATGTCTGATCAGTTTCCAAGAAAACATATAAAACCTTAATAATGCATACAATTGATTATCTCTGAACAAGGAAAAAAAGTGACCTTGTGTTTGTTTAATGTGTACATTTCTGCATAAAAAAGACCACAGCAGACAAGGAACATTCTGAAGCTGCTGAAAAGAGCCTGTCAGTTGTACAATCTGAATAAGTCTTAGTTTTTTGTATACAGATTTTAATACAACAGTAATCCTAGTACAGCAGGCCCTCAGTATCCACTGTAGTTTGGTTTCAGGGCTTTCTGTGTGGACCTAAATCATTGATGTACAAGTCCCATTATATACAGTGGTGTAGCAAAATGGTCATGCCTATATAAAATGGCAAAGTCAACATTCGCTTTTTAAAAACATTTCCAACCATGGATAGTTGAATCTATGGATACAAAATCCATAAATAATGGAAAGATGACTCAGTTTAAAAAACAAGTTATGTTTTGGGGTTTTTTTTTTTTTGGAGGCCATAGTCATTAGTATCCTTGTTAGCAAATCTCACTGAACTTTGTGGGTTGTCTTGAATAACATGCATATAATTGTTTTGGAAATCGGGTTTAAATTAAAGACTTAGAGTTAGATCCACTATTGCACAAATGCCAAGCAGCTTATATAGTGGCTCATTATGCAGCCCACTGTACACTCTCCAAAAGCTTCACCAGATAGTCATGAGAATGTGCAGAAGATTGTGGGTTACATCTTAACATGTCTTAAACAAGCTATTCAATATTTCTTCACCCAAGTTTAGGCAATTTGCCTTCCCACAGCCATATAAAAACATTGAACAGTGTTAAATAAATCCTTACTTAACCCTCTGGAAAAGTATTTAGATAGGCAAGAGATTGAGGTCCTTGCTTGTGTTTTGGTCTGATCCCCATTATTGGATTGTTATTTGGAAACCTGAGCTTTAGTTCCCATTGAATCCTGAAACTCATTAAGTGACCTTGGACTTCTCACATTCTTATCTACATTGCAGGATTGTTGTTAAAATGACTGAGGTTAAAGTGGAGAGAAGTGCTATATACATTGCCTTGATCAGTGGGTAAAAGATGGGATATAAATCTAACTAAAATAAATGTTGGTTATTGCTCTTGAAATTTAATTTTGGTTGAGGCTTAATAAATGCAGCCTAATCTGATGGAAAAAACTGTGCTTAGATGTGCTATCAAAGAGCTTTTTTTAAAGCAATATTTGTTCAGAGGGTGTTTGCCATTGCACTCTTTTGCGGCTGAATGGATATGACTTGACCAAGATCACCAAGTGATTACAAATCTTTTGGATGGAAAGCCATGTCAGTGCTAAACAACATCTGACTAATAACCACAAAGCAGTGGAAGATATGTGTCTGCAAAGAGTGATGTTTTATTAATACAATAAGGTTAAAGTAAGCAGAGTCTTTAGATAATGACCAAGAACAAACTGGAGAATATTTAAAAAAGAAAAATTGTGATTTAGTTCAACAAATCGTTTTCTTGAAACGAAAAGCAATATGAAAATGAATATGAAAATGAAAAGCAAAAAGTAGCTTTGATGATCTATGGAAATAAATGATAAGTATTTTTGGCAACTTCAGAGAAAAATAGGTTTTACTGGTCATAAACCTTTGTGGACAGCAGCCTACATCATTAGAGACTGTTCGTTAAATGTATGCCTAATAGCTGCTATTTACACACACACACATCTGCATTCAAGGAAGCCTGTTTACAACTTTAATAAGCCTTTCTGGATTAGGAGGTAAACCCACTGAAATCAATGGTATTTAATTAAATGTAATTACATTTTGATAGGAAGCAGTATACCAGACATGTACCAACTAGAGTGTTGTTTTCTACTATGAAGTTTCTATTGCTTTCATTTCTTGAACAAGGCACATACAGTCAGTCCTCTGTGTCTACAAATTCTGTATCCACAGATTCAACTATCCATGTCTAGAAATTGTTGAGAAAAGATAATCCAAAATGCAAGCCTTGATTTTGTCATTTTACCACACAATTTTACCACACATTTGTATATAATAGAACTGGAGCATGTATTTTGATATCCTCAGGGATTCTGAAACCAAATACCAGCAGATACCAAGATCCCACTGTACTTGCTTCCAGATATTGGGTAGGGTATTATGCCTAGTTTTAATAGTAACGCTCAAGCAACCAGAAACTACATTTATACAGCATTTCCAGATCCCCATGGATGCCGTTAAATGAGAGTCTACTGTAACTCTTCAGAATTCTGTCTTAGAAGTAACTAGCTGTGCCCTGCCACGCGTTGCTGTGGCCTATAGTAAAACTTATCAAAGTTGAGGTAGATATCTGGACTATTATGAAAGAGAGGTACCTACCTATTCCTTCCCCCTTTTCCTCCCCCTTTCTCTCCTTTCTTCCTTCTCTCTCTTTCTTTCTTTCCTTCTTTCACTACTTGGTTTCATCCTTCTCTCTTTCCTTCATTCCCTCCCCCTTTCTTCCTTTGCCTTTCTTCCCTCCTTTTGCTTCCTTCTTTCTCTTTTTATTTCCTTTTATTTCACCACCATCATAACAATAACAATAATGCAATGCATTGCCTCTGGGACCTGACACCTCTCCCATTCCCCCTAAAAGGGTCTCATAGGAATAATAGCATCATAATAATATAGAAATAACAACCTTTACCCGCCACGCGTTGCTGTGGCCAACCTTCCCTCTTTCTCTCCTTCTTTCCCTCCTTCCTTCCTTTCCCTCCCATCTTTCCTTCTCCTCTTCCTTCTCTATCTCTTTCCTTCCTTCCCCCTTTTTCTTTCTCTTCTGGTCTCTTTTCTTCCTTCTCTCTTTCCTTCTTTCCTTCCCTCCCTCTTTCTCTACATCTTCCCCCTTCCTTCACTCCCTCTTTCCTTCCTTCATTCCCTTTTTTCTTTCCTTCTCTCCTTCCTTCCTTCCCCCTTTTTCTTTCCCTCCCTCTGTCTCTCATTTCTTCCTTCTCTACCTCTTTCCTTCCTTCCCCCTTTTTCTTTCTCTTCTGCTGTCTCTCTTTTCTTTCCTTCCATCTTTCCTTTGATTTCCTTTTCTTCTTCCTTCTTTCTCTAACTTTCCTTCCTTCCCCCTTTTCTTTATCTCCCTTTCTCTTTCTTCCTTCTTTCCTTCCTTCCTGTCTTTCCTGGATTTTGACAGGGCGGGAAGGGGCGGGGTGGGGTTTGGAGGTGGCGTGAAGTAAAAGGAGGTAAGATTGGGGCAGGGGAGTGATGGAGCGTGGGGTTGCGTGTGTGTGTGCGGCGGCGGGGGAGTGATGGAGCGTGGGGTTGCGTGTGTGTGTGCGGCAGCGGGGGGGAGTGGGGTTGCGCGTGTGTGTGTGGCGGTGGGGGGAGTGATGGAGCGTGGGGTTGCGTGTGTGTGTGCGGCAGCGGGGGGGAGTGGGGTTGCGCGTGTGTGTGTGGCGGTGGGGGGAGTGATGGAGCGTGGGGTTGCGTGTGTGTGTGCGGCGGGGGGAGTGATGGAGCGTGGGGTTGTGTGTGTGCGTGCGGCAGGGTGTGTGTGTGCGGGAAGCGGCGCGGCGGGGCTTGGAGTGGGCATGGCTTCCGCAGAGGGAACTGTGTGCGCTCGCCAGGGAACTTGCGGCTGGGCACCAATGCGCATGCTCAGTTGTTTTGCCATTTTGTGAGTGTGTTGTTGTGTTGTTTTTCATTTTGAGTAGATATGTTTGTACCTTATGGGTTGTGTTATGGGCATGGGAATTTTGGTTAAGTTTCGTTGGGGGGTTTGTGAGTTTTGTTGATTTGCCGTTTTGTGAGTGTGTTGTTGTGTTGTTTTTCATTTTGAGTAGATATGTTTGTACCTTGTGGGTTGTGTTATGGGCATGGCAATTTTGGTTAAGTTTCGTTGGGTTTTTTTTTGAGTTTTGTTGTTTTGCCGTTTTGTGAGTGTGTTGTTGTGTTGTTTTTCATTTTGAGTAGATATGTTTGTACCTTGTGGGTTGTGTTATGGGCATGGGAATTTTGGTTAAGTTTCGTTGGGTTTTTTTTGTGTTTTGTTGTTTTGCCGTTTTGTGAGTGTGTTGTTGTGTTGTTTTTCATTTTGAGTAGATATGTTTGTACCTTGTGGGTTGTGTTATGGGCATGGGAATTTTGGTTAAGTTTCGTTGGGTTTTTTTGAGTTTTGTTGTTTTGCCGTTTTGTGAGTGTGTTGTTGTGTTGTTTTTCATTTTGAGTAGATATGTTTGTACCTTGTGGGTTGTGTTATGGGCATGGCAATTTTGGTACAGTTTCGTTGGGGGGTTGTGGAGTTTTGCTGTCCGGTTGAACCAACCTAACAGATTTATATATATAGATGAGCCAGCATGCTGTTTTCCGCTGCCCAGTCTTCCCTATTTGGCCCCTTCTGCCAATAGGAGCAACCACATGAAGAAGGATGTGATCAGCAACCAAAATTTATGATTAGCCTAAACTGGTATTTCTGGTCTATTGCTTTTTTATTTTTTTATTTTTTTAACAATCTAAAATCTGAAGCCACAACTTGTTCCTGGCTTATGATTAATAATTTTGGAGCACAATGCTAAGAATTGCAGTTTGGCACCATGCAAAATTTAATGTGTGCTGGTGACTTCCTACTTAAGTTAGGCACTTTCTGTGGCAAGAGGAGCCAAGTAAAACAAGCCATATGTAACCTGTTTTACAAGGTGAATTAATGCTCCTAGAAAAAGCAGTAAAAGCAACATCCCCCTTTTTTTGCAGGAAAAGGGCATTGGAAAGCCTCAAAAACAGTCTTGGAGACACTTGTGGTCTTATTGCCGTCCTTTGCCACAGCAAGTGCCCACTTCTAAATGTCCTTCATCACTAGAACATCTCTGCTGCATGTCCTGTTCTTTACCAGAATAAATGCTTTCTCAGTGATGATACTCATTTTGTAGAATTGTTGATAAATTCCCCTCCCCACACTATGGCTTTCAGCTGTTATTCTTTCAATGTCTCATTTTTACTTTATTTTACTTGTTTTGAGTGTTTCTATTGCCTTATTATGCTTAATTTTTATTATTTTTAGATATAAATGAAAATTTAAGACACAGTTGCCAGTATTAAATTTACTGAAATAACAAATGCTTTTTCATCCTTTCCTATAGTCACCTTTAAACTATGTGGAAATGGGGCAGTGGTGATGATTCAGTCCCTAAATCTGGAGTAAGTACTTTTAAAAAATCCCTAACTTTTGTTAGAAATTTGTAGGTTCAGTTTGGTTTTTACATGTTTTGAGTAAATACTGTACCCAGCATAATTAATGTTATTTCTCAGATATCAGGTAAAAACATCTTGATTTTTCCCACGTTGTCTTTGCTGAACAAGTCAGAAGATCTCAGATGGAGTGCCTTGGGATTCTGTACCAGGGTCATTATTTTTCAACATTTATATAATGACTTCGATGAACGGGTGGAGGGGAATCTTTATCAAGTTTGCAGATAATACCAAACTGGGAGGAATAGGAACAGAATTGAGGAGAACCTTAAAAAACTAGAAAATTGGGCAGAATTTAATTAAATGAAATTAATAGAGACAAATGCAAAATTTTACATTTAGGTCACAAAAACCAAATGTATAGGTATAGGATGGAGGATACATGGCTTATCATACGTTGAATAAGAGCAGGAGTGTGCTGCTGCAGCAGCAAAGAAGGTGAATGCTATTTTAACCTCTGTTAATGAGGCATAGTTTCCAAGTTGGGGAACATTCATAGCCTCAGTATATTCTGTGCTGGTTAGATACCTGGAGTATTTTTCAGCACTTTGTTTTAGGAAGTATGTAGACAAGTTAAAGCCAACTCAGGAAAGAGCAGGAGAATGCACACACAGGATTGTAGTAATGCTTCATTTTGTTGAAGTGAGCATGTAGAACTGTTTCCTTGCTGGAATAAATGCTACAATGCAGGAAGTGTTGGTGTATTAATTATAGTATCCCTTTCTTCAATGACTAGCTAAGTTGGTGTACAGGTGTTACATAATTTTCAGATATTTATAATTGAGCAGATGTTGTTTTACTGGACATGGATCATTCATGTTCCATTAATAATACATAAACATTCACTTTTCTACATCATTTTGTTGCAAAACTCCTTCTGCTATCTGCAGGTTCATGGCACTTCTCAATCAGCAAGCATGTCAGCGGGTGACTTAACTGAGCAGCTGGCGCAGACTAAACAACTGGTAACACAACTCAAGGAACTTGTCAAGGAAAAGGAGAATGAGCTACATAATAAGGAGCAACAGTTAAAGGTATTGTCTGTGTAGTTCAGAATTGCATCTCCTTATGAATGAAAATTAACTTCACAGCTGTCTTAGTACAAAGTGCTTTCCTTATATATCAGGTTAAAAATAGCTGTATCAGACTGGAATCAATAGTGATCATAATTAGCAGGTGCTAAGAAGATGCTGGTTTATTTTAAGTTATCATAATGTTCCAGTTTTGTTTGTCACTCAGAATATGAAAGTTTTCCAAGTTTGAACAGGTGCTGTTGATAAGCCCAGGCTTAAAATTGTTCATTTCAATTTGGTATGTGTAACATGTGGCTTCTCATCAGATCCAAGACCACCTGTCTTGGAGTTGTTGATCTTTCAATGCTAAAACTATCTTTTTATTTTCGTATATGTATATGTAAGTACCTTCTATCATATAGATACTTATAATATGTTTAATTAATTTGAAATTGCCAATTGATTCGTCTGAAAATAAAATCTCAATATTTTGTAGGAGGAAAAAGAAGCTTCTGAAGCTAGGATTTCCAAATTAAAGCTGCAAAACAAAGCCAAAGTAACATCTTTAACTTCACAATTAGAGGAACTTAAGAAGCAGCTGTCAGGTGCTGGGAATAAAGAAGGAAAATCTGAGCAAAAGAAAGTGAGTTATATTCTTAACATTTAGATAACTGTTATGTCTTGATGCACTGGTAATGATATTTCATTTACTTTTTTTCCCAAGGCTGATAGCCATGCAGACTATATGCATGCATGTTTGTGTGAGTGGCAGATTCTGTTTACCAATGAAGTGTTTTGCTTTTGCTGCTGTTAAAGAGATAAGTTGCCTTGTAAATGGAGCAGCTCAAGTGGTGGAAACAAAGTGATGGAAATAGCAGGCAGTGCTTGCTTTTTGCCTGCTCCTCTGCTGCGTTTGTCTTTTGTTTATATCTTGGCTTTATAGTACGCTCCTATATATCATGATTCAGAAGCATGTCCCAGTTAAGTGGGCTGTTGGACTAGATGACCCATGTGGTTTCTTCCAGCTATGATTCTCTGAATAATCCTCAGCAGTTCTCAATTCTGTGTAGTCCCCAGCCCATACCTTTTCTTTCTTTATGCTGCTTCAAAGAGCACCTTAGAAACTGCAGTTTGCTGTGTCCTCTCAGCCTATAACCATGAGGTAATAGTTTTAAGTAAGCTACCCTAAATAACTAACTGGGATGGGCAACACGCAGTCTGCTAGATATTGTTTAATGGCAACTCCTATGAGACCTAGCTACCATAGCCAATACTGAATGGTTTGGTGTCCATCAGCATCTGGATAGTGGCATATTTGTTTAAGAGTGTTTTGTTTCAACTCTTCATAATTAATGCCAAATGCAGACTGGGTGACAAGACATACTGTGATTAAGAGGAAACAAAAGCCTCTGAACCCCTCCTGTTGGGCACATGAGAAGAGGCAGATAAAAAAATACAAGTTTCACTGATTCATTAATGCTGCATTAAAATGGATATTAGTGTGTGCGTGTGTGTGTATGCTGCCAATGTGTTTACAATTGTAGCTTAAATTTTTATAAAGTACTGAATATCATTACAAGTTCTTTGTGTTCTTAAAAAGCTTGATGTAATGAAAACTTTTAAAGTATGCCAGATACATCACACTGTTTGTATTTCCACAACCCTCATTCTTGTATTCCTCAAGCAGAAAGAAGTAAATAAGTTCAGGATTTTAAATGAGCCATTCATTCATTTTCTTCCTCAAATAATGGCAAGGATTATAGCTCAGTTGACAAAACATTGTTGTCATATAGAAGATCTCAAATACATTCCCAGGAGTTCTGGTCCAAAAAAGGAATGTTTTGTATTGCTCTGCATATAAGCTGTTTTATATTTTGGGACCAAAATCACAATAATATATTTGGAGCTTTTTTTGTATTTGTTTAAAAATATTCAGAACACATTCCCAAGAAGTTTGTACAAAAGAAGAGGAGAATTACAGTAGAAAAAAAAGAAAGAAGGAAGATGTAGAAACCTTAAGGAGAATGTCCAGAAGTCACGGAATTTTTATTTCACTTTCACATTTTGGTTTAATGTCTTACTTTATCTATACGCACACACACACATACACACACACATGTATTTATATACGGATATATTTATATGTGTGTACATATGTGTAAATATATGCACTCAGGAATAGGAGTGTGTGGGCACATACTTATAATATACAACTACCTTAATCTCTCTCTTTTTTCCGTTTATTTTTTTCTTCTTTTTTCTTCTTCTCTTGGCTTTTTAAAATTTTATCTTATTTGGTAAAGGCACAATAAAGATATATATATTTAAAAAATATTCAGTTCAAATTCTGTATTTTTACAAATACATTTGAGTGTAGCAAAATTCGCAATTTCTGAACAGAGGTCTAAAGCAGGCAGTGTTTTTTAAATGACAAAAACAAATAGTTCTTGTATACTACAGCCTGGATCTTACTCCTAATCTAAGTTTCCAGATTTACATTTTAGAGTTCTAGAGATGGTGATCAGGATAATGCTGCAGCAAGTCGTGGAAAAATATTGGTACTTAAAAAGAAAATTGAAGAACTAGAGACACAGAATGCTCAAAGAAATGAAGAGCTTCAGAGAAAGGTATTGTTTCATGAAAATATTCTTCATTGTTGGCATTGCTTGGACTGGAGACACATTTGAAAGTCTTCAGCCTTCCATGCAAACCAGCCTAAGCATCAATACTGGAGTCACTTTTTGTGCTGATGCAAGGATGAGCTTTACTGGCAGCTACTCCAAAATTTTGGAATTTGCTGCTAGGGGAGGATACCATTGCTTTATCTCTGTTGTCTTTCTTGCATCAGGGAAAACAAAACATTTTGATTAGGCAGGGGATTGGCAATCAGAAAATTGATTTATTGTTAATTTTTAAAAATATAATGGGTGCTGCAGTTTCTCTTTTCACTGAATATTTTATTTGTTCTCTATATGATGTGTTTTTTGGTCTACAACTTTTATTGTTTGAATTAAAAAGTTGTTTTTCATATGATCTAAATCCAGTGTCCTGGAGGGAACATTCTCCCCTCTCAGATAGGCACAAAAATCTGTAAAAGGGAAACTGCAAGAACCCACTGGAGCAAATGTGCAGTGGGGAGGAAAGCATGTCCCCACTTTCATATTCCTTGAAGGACACAATGTCATCAACAGATGTACCACTTTGGATCCTGGTTTGTGTCATTTATTGTTGACCATTAAGAAAATTATTTTAATGGAAAGTTGAGCTTCAAATTTAATAAATAAATAAAAACCCCAACTGAATAAATACTTTTAAATTAGAGCTTTCCAAACTCAGTGTTGCGATATGTTTAGTATGTACGGGTGTGATGGAACATAGAATTTTTAAAATTCTTGCACATATTTAGATATTGTTCCTCATAAATGACAAAAATCTTGAAAATGTATGCTGTTATGTTACAAATCATGAGATATTTTGTGTCCCTGTTCATTTTATTATGACATTTTATTTGTGTCTTATATGGAATTGGGCCATCCTCGTCTCTCTTGGGAGTGAATACCACAGACTGGGAGCAGTCACCTAAAAGGCCTACAATATTAGGTTTTTAAGGATTTTAATTAATTTTATGTTAAAGTTGAGGGCAAGTTTTGAGACCAAATCTATGGATTTTGATATAACTGATGGATAAGTCAAGTGTCATTTTGTGAAGAGGAGAAAACACCAGCACCTGCTGCCCTTTGCCACCCCTACCTTTTTCCTGCTGTGGCATTTAAAGAGGCATTTTGCCACTTTACTCAGAAAAGGGGATGGTTTCGCTTTTTAAAAAATTAAGGTGTAGTATTAACTCGTATAATAGACTAAACCATACTCTTGTATTGAGAAGAGTATCAAAAGGCAAGAATTTAGCCTGGTGCTCCTTTGAGGGGAAGCACAAAAGAGCTATTTCTGTAATTTCCTAGCCCAGGCATTCAAACATGCCAGAAGCAGCACCACAATGGAAAGAAGGGATGAAGCTCTTGCCATTCATCACTCTATGTAGACAAGGGGATAATTCTTTTTAATGAGAATTTGGGATCTGCACATACCCTGATCTGTGGAAAAACCCAACCAGTTTTTTTTTGGGGGGGGGGGTGTTGTTTTTTTAAGTAAAATTTCTAGACTTAAACATAAGGATTTACATATATCAAAATGTAAGTTTTATTAGATATATTATTTTATATTATATAATTGGGAATTGCTCATAAGACTCACTCATCTAACACATTTTTTTTACTACTGCTTGTGTTGTGATAGAATCTGCTAGCAATGATAGTAATGCTGGTAGTATTAGGAGAAGCAGCTCATCTCGACCAGCTTAGTTGCCACAAGGAAAGTGGCAGTTCGAAGAGTTCAAAGAAACCTGACCAGATTTAGTCATTTTTAGAGTATAGAAGATAATGGTGATAAATGAGGACACCATAAATCTGTCTCATGTATAGTATTAAAACTGGAAAAAGACATAATATTGCTTAGTTCATTTCTGACAAAACAATAATTTTGGTTTCCAGACTGCTGAAGTGGATGCTGCACATCAACGGGGGGCAGAAATGGATGCCATGCTTGCTGAGAAGCAAAAAAAGCTGGATGAAAAAGAAGCCTATATCATTGATTTACAGTTATCCTGTGGATCAAATAATGATGCCAAAGAATTACTAATACATAACAGTGAATTAAAGGTATTATTAAACTCTGTTTTGTGAAAGCTCCATCTTATCTATCAACAAAGGCTGTTCACCTATAGATGTAACAGCTTTCCCAATATGCTGAGCAGATGCACAAAAGCACATTCCTGTGATTGCTGTTGGCATAATGTATTTTTTCCATACAGTAATTTTTGCTGCTTCTTTTCCACTTGTACTCATAAGTATTTAGTTGAATGTGTCATTGATCCTGAAAGGCTTATTCCCATTCTAATCTTCTCATTATTTTTCTTTGTGAACTTCAAAGAATCAGCTTTCCACAAAGGAGGCTTCATTACAGAGTATGCAAATCCTAGTTCAGAATCTTACAAAGAAAGTTGGAGACAGCGAAGAAAGATGTAGCCTCCTTGAGGAACAAATTAAAAACCTTAAAAGCCTTCAGAGTAAAGAGAAGGGGCATTTCCAGGAAAGAGAAGCCATGTATACACAAAATGTAAGTAAGTTTATAATAAAATGGATTTATCAATGGTTAGGATTTGGATTCTGATAAGGAAAATGTCACAATGGATTTCTCTCTAAATTGATTTGATTAGTTAAAATAATGAACAGGAACAATATTTTTATGAGCATGCTAAATGGCAGAGGTTTTTTCCCCCATGTCAAGAGTGACAAGAGAAACTGCAAGTCACTTCTGGTGTGATAGAATTGGCTGTCTGCAAGGATGTTGCCTGGGGATGCCTGGATGTTTTACTATCCTCTAGGAGGCTTCTTTCACGTCCCTGCATGAGAAGCTGGAGCTGACAGATGGGAGCTCAACCCACTTCCTGGATTTGAACTGCTGACCGAAAGTCCTGCCGGCACAAGAATTTAACCCATTGCACCACCGAATGCTCTTAATGGCAGAATTGAAGGATTCTGAGAAGAAAATACTTTCTCAGATACTTGAGAGTTTTAAGCCATTATTTGCAAAATCATTCTGACTTTCAGGTCTCTGTCTTTTTGGTAGGATTTTCCCTATTATTTATTATTATAAATGATCCTATATTTTCCTACTAGCTGTTGTCTGGTAGCTTTCTTCACATTATCTGTACAATGTTATTGTCAAAGAATACAGACCTTGAATTGTGACTTTGGATTTGTGTAATTTTAAATGGATGTTTTTATAATTGATGTTCAAACGATTTGTTTTTAATTGTAATTGTAATTATAATTGTTGTGCTTGGCATCTAATGGTTGCCAGTTGTGAGGCCGCCCTGATTCCCCCCCCTCCCCCCCGGGCGTGAGAAGGACAGAATATAAATGTATGAAATAAATAAATAAATTCTAGTATAAGGTTGATGTTATTGAAATAGTCTTATTGTGTATCTCTCTGAACCAACTTTTCAGCAACATTACATTGTTTAATGATAGTGTTAAACAACTCGGCTCCTTTTTTCATATGTGGTGGACATGCAAAGTAGCATCCAAGTTTTGGACAGAAATACGTGAAGAAGTACAGAAGATTTTAAAAATAAACTTCATAAAAAAACCGGAGTACTATTTATTAGGGTTTACAGATTTAGACTTACAATTAAATGAACAAGAAGATAAACTTTTTACATTCATTATAACTGCCGCCAGAATTGTTTTCGCAAGAGAATGGAAACAAGAATTAAATCCACCCATAGAAGGGTGGTTTGAAAAAATCAGGGAAATAAAGGATATGGATGAACTGACTTTTTTGTTGAAGAAAAATACGGGCAATACTTTAAAAAGAACAAATTGGGACCCTCTCCACAGCTATCTGGAGAAATTGCAAAATTAGAAGACACAATAGACATTTATTTTTCAAGTAATATTTTTCAATAATAAAAAGACATTAACCAAGAAGATGGAATGGAAGTCAATTTTCTTTTTTCTTTTTTCTTTTGTTCTTTTTCATTTTTTCATTTTTTCTTTCTTTCTTTTCTTTTTCTTCTTTTTATATATTTCTATTTTCCCCCTCTCTTTCTATATTGTTATTGTTCCCACTCTTACGTTGTATTATGGAAAATCTAATACAATTCTTTAAAAAAACCAAAAACCTGCACTCAGCAATTCATAATTCATATTTAAACAGTTAGTGTATTATTTTTCAGATTCGTATGTTTCAGAATATTATACAAGAAAAGGAAAAAGAGCTGATGGGACTGGCCCAAAAACATGAGCAAGAACTCTTTAAGATGGCTGCTAAATCTGATGCTAGTGCTGATCTAGAACAGGTAAGAAAAATGCACTGTAACTCAGTAGCAGAATGAATGGAACTCAGACCATGATTGCTAGAATCCAGTTAAATCCTCAAGCACTTTGTTTTCCAATTTAATTTATATATCTCAAAACAGAGGCGCACTTGACTTCTTACAGCTCTGATATTCATTCTGTACTCAGTTCTCCTATATTCTGTTGAGTCGGGTTATTAAGAGCACAAACTAGTTGTGTCTTCTCCAAGATAAAGCTTTTGCATGAGCGATAGTGAGGTAGAAGGAAATTAACAGGGGACTAGAGCTTTATGAGAATGAGAAGAGGCTTTTTGTGGTATCAGAGCTTGACCCTCCCCTTGAGTGCAGAAAGTTGTTTGGCTTTTATATGCAATATTTCTGGTCAATATGACTTTTTGAACAAATGTCATGGTTTCACTTACATCTTTGGAATTTAGTTGTATTGGGTGGGATGAAGAGAACTAGGGCCAGAGGAATCTGGGTTTATAGAAACTTCTACAGAAACTTCTCTTCTTCTATTTCATTAAATGAACATCTATCCTCAACAGCTATTGAAAGCCTTGAAACAGAAGCTCCATGAAAAGGAAGAAGTCATGCTAGGAAGAACACAAGTGATAGTTATGTTGCAACAAGAATTGGATGCTAAAGACCAGCAGCTCAAAGTAAGAATGAGGTGCAATAACTAGTGACTTACAAGCCTATTGTTTCCACTCTGTGGCTGTTACAAATATGACTCAGGGCGAAACTAATATCCCATTTAAAAAAAAACACCTACCTTTTCTTTATGTTAATAAATTCCCCTTGCAGCTATTTTAAAGTGTACATTTGCCTTCCTTTCTAAATATTGAAATGCTAGCCTCAATTTTCTAGCAAAATCTTCATTATTTCCTCCCTGAATACCATTGGAGAGCTTGGCTATTTGAATATAGTCTAATGGTTTTCCTCTCCGGTCCTTTATAAGTAAATCTCCCCCCTCTCCCCATGATTTTGATATTATTCTTGCAGCAACAAAACTGTATTGACAGATTTCTACATCTTCTTTCACAAACTAAACCTAAGAGGCACATTTCTGGGTTTTTCTTAACCCTTTTAGTAATCATTTTATTTGTTTATTTAATTAACTTTTTCCAAAAAGTTTGACCCAGCCTACAAGTCCATCAAGTGTAAAAGCATGTTGAACTTTTTTCATTTACTGTACATTTTTTTTATACCTGCCTCTTGTATTTATTTTAAAAGTAACAGTTGCAAGTGGCTTACTTCTACAGAGCGTGCCCTTGTGATACATAGAGATAGCATATTTTATCTCTTTTGAAATAGCACTGGTGCAGTGAAAATAAACCAGAGGATTACTGTGGATCATTTGGAAGTCAGCCAAATAGAACAATGCATTCCTTCAGAAATATGTTGGCAGACAGCAGGATGATTTCGTGTCTCTCTTCCGGAATAAATGCCAGTGCAGACTGTAGAATTTGTAGGTGATTTCACAGTCCCTTTCAGTTCCAGGGAGACAACTATGTGAATGCTCACAGACCTCTATTTTAGTGGAGATAAGGTGATATCTCCTATCTGCCTTAGAAACATTTGAGATTGATAGAAAGCTACACACCTCCCACTGCCTTTGCAAGAATATTAGAATTATTTCTGGAATTGAACAAGCTGCTATAGAATCAGATTCTCCCCATTGAAGAAATAATTCTGCATTAGGCAGCATCTGGAGTTTATGCCTCAGATTTTGCTGGAATGCTGTCTTGAGGCATCCCTAAGGACAGCTCTCCATGGGAAAAATGAATGTGGACACTTGTGGCAGAATGATTTTGATACTGATTGGCTTAATTCTTGGTCCTCAGATTTTCTCCTTCCACCTAAAACCCCTTGCATGCTCTGAAAATCTGCAGTAAAGTATTGTGGAGCCCTTTTCAGAGCAAGAAAGAGGCTACAGCAGTAAGGCAGATTATTCCCCCCCCCCTTTTTTTTTTTTGCAGAAAGGATCACTTAACTAGATGAAAAGCTTTCCATTTCAGTATTTGGAAAAAAAAAATTAAGCATCAGTAGCCCAGTGCTTAATCCAGAGCATCATCCTGCCATTACTCAGTTATGAATGACTTCAACATAACAATGTAGTCAATTTTCTTCAAACAACTATCTCAGCTCTGCATTTGTGTTTTTTTTCCTGTGTCAGAAGTGACTTGAGAAACTGCAAGTCACTTCTAGTGTGAGATAATTGGTAGTCTGCAGGGACATTGCCCAGGGGATGCCTAGATGATTGATGTATTTCTATCCTGTGGAAGGCTTCTCTCATGTCCCTGCATGAGAAGCTAGAGCTCGACAGACGGGAGCTTACCCCGCTCCCTGGATTCGAACCGCCAGCCTGTCAGTCGACCAGTCCTGCCGGCACAAGGGTTTAACCCATTGCACCACAGAGGGTGAAAGCAGCTCTTCTGTTTGTAGGTGGACTGTTGACCTAACTTCCATTGAAAACGTTTTCCACATGATAAAAAGTTTCTATTAAACACCCTAAAGACACCAAATCCTGTCTCATCTTCTAGACTAATCAAGGTCAGCTCTGCTTAGTACCTGGATGGGAGACTGCCTAGGAATACCAGGTGCTGTAGATTATATTTCAGAGGAAGGAACAGGAAAAACCACCTCTCAGTATTCCTTGTTTGTGAAAATCCAAGAAATTCATGTGGTTTCTATAAGTTGACAGGTGACTTGACGGCACATAAAAACATATTTTTGTCCATTTAAAATACATTTGTTTTATTTCAGGAAATTAATGAACATCTGAACCGCCTTCAGTTAGAAAAAGATAACCTCCAGTCCAAATTGAATGCCGAAAAGCATGTAATGCGAGCACAGCTGAGAGACATGATGGAGAAACATGAGAATGAAATGAAAGAAGTTAGAGAGAGTCACAATGCAGAGATCCAAGTGCTCCAAGAAAAGCATGAAACTGAGATGCAGGAAAAACACCAAATTCAGCTTCAACTTCAGAAACAATTGGACAAATTAAGCTCTGGTGGACAAAATGATTTGGCGCAGTCTGTTGATATAGATGCTGTAATTAAACTAAAGCTGGAACAGCTTGAAGGTATCATATTATTGAACAGTGTTTTTTACAATTCCTTACAGTTTTTTGTAAAGAAAAGCAGCCCGGAAAGCCATCTTTGTGGCCATTCTTTTACACAGGAAGCAGGGTATTTGTAATTTATTTGTTGAAATGAAGAAGTAAGCCTTCCAAGTAGATACCAATTTATGCATGTCTCATTTGTTTTAGATAGTGGTTCTGTGTGTTTGTGAAATATGGGTGATATCCTGATAGGACTTCTGTATTTTTGTGTCTAAACCAGGGGTCTGTGACATAAAACTGCAAAATTCAATTGTCCAATCTATCACATTGCATATGCCCTACTAATATTTTTTCTCAAAGTTACATTATTATTTTGTAAATAGTATAATACAGTGCAACACTATCATGATAGAATTTCTGCTACAGTTCTGAATAATGACTGAAATACCTCTTTGTTTAAGCTCAAGCAAAACTGAAAACGGAAGAGGCCAGCAAATCTGAGGCAAGGTTCCTTAAAATGAAAGCTTGGTCTAAATCCAGAATCAGACAGCTTGAAGATGAGCTGAAAAATGTATGTAAAATGCTAAAGAGAACTTATTTCTGTGTTTGATTCTGTATCATAGATTTAAATAACTAAAAGGTGCCCATGTGATTATTTAAATTTTAAGATGTGAAGAAATCAGCCTTTACTGGAATATATTTATAGCTGAAAAGTAGATGTGTGTAGTGCAAACCTTCATGTTACTCAAATGCATATGATAATTCTTCTGATACTCTTGCTACTCCATAACAAATAACTTATAAAAGATCTTACATTTTAGAAGAAATTTAATGACAGAATACATATTTTATAGTTTACATCAGCAAGTGACAACGTAACTGCCTTACATGACCGGATTTCCGAATTAGAACAGGAAAAGGAAGACCTCCAGTCCACACTACAATCTTTTACTGAACTTAAAACTCAAAACGGTAAGTAATTATTAGACTTCTGTAATTGTAAATGAAGTTAGATGATAAGACTAAACAATGGATTCCTAACATATAGGACCACAATTGGATCTGCCTGTATTTGTGATTGGATCAGGCTTTCTAGGCAACTCATATGGTTCCTAGCATCTAGGGATGGCATATTCTCTGTTCATGGCAACGTTCGTAAATAGTGAAAGAAATGATAAATTGTCTAATATTGTAAAATCTCCTTGGTGCTTTTCAGGTTAAGCAAAAGTTTAATTTAAGACTTTTTGATGGACTCAGTCTACTAAAGATACACCTTGACATCTGTGTTGTGATGTTTAAGTATTTGTCACAGCTCTAAGGCAAAGGAAATATAGGAATACAGGGATACATCACGTGACAAAGTAGATGCGTTCCAAGGCATTACATATTTTTAAAAATTCGTACCAGAGGGAGAAATAACATGGAAACATTCCATAGGATAAAAAAGAACAGTTCAACAAGTTTCAGAGACTTTTTCATCTAAAACAATCAATGTGTACATTTGAAATGGAACAGCCTGGTCTGGCAAGGCATGCATAATAACTAAATGAAAACATTGTGACCTTTCTGGATACTACTTGAAAGTTCCTTCCATAATGTATCCAGCCTTTCTCTTTCTTGTGATTACTGTTTTGGTATCAGAATTGGTGGATCCCTGTTTTTTTAAATATGCTATAGGTAACTGAAGAAGCAAGCTCATCTGCTGTCCCCTTTTCTTTTTGTTTTGCAATTCACGTCTGCTGAATGAGGGATTCTTGAGGCAGCTGCTACTTACCTTGCCCATGGGAGGCAGGAACACATTTTTGTATCTTTAGCAACCAAACAAGACAGTCACACATAATCTAAAGTTCAAATTCAAAGTTCAAAGGACAGTCACAGCCATTTGCACACAGTAACAAAGCGCTAAACAAACAAACAAACAAACAAAAACCAGAGGAAAGCTCAAATGCCATCCAATTCCTTTCAACTCACTAGTCTGAATATGCACTCTGAAGATAAATGTTGCACGTGTTAGCAAACCCCATCCTAATAGCTACTACTTTCCATTTGATGCTTCCCCACAATTACCTTCCCCCTCAGCAGGGGAGCACCACAGTATTGCCTCTGGGGAGGTCACCGGCTGAATCAATAATAATAATAATAATAATAATAATAATAATAATAATAATAATAAACCTTTATTTATACCCAACTACCATCTCCCGAAGGACTCGGTGCGGCTTACAAGAGGCCGAGCCCAAATACATCAGTAAAAAGCAACAACAACAATACAGACAATAAATAAACTCATAAACAAAGCAATAAACAGTAACAATAACACCACGACGCATTAAAAACCTATGGCAGGCCAATTGTAATAATTAAAAATTTAAAAATGCTGGGCATGACAAGGTGACATATAACTAGGATGGGTATTTGGAGAGAGATGGAGTGAGCAGACAATCCTATAGAGATAAAACATCCAAAACTACTTCTTTAAGAAAATATTTTGATCAAAAGTTGATTGAATCTGTGGCTGTAGAACCTGTGGATACAGAGGGCCATCCTTCTGCATGTAGTTTTCTATACCTACTAGTGCTAGATTGCTTAGTCTGTTGGAGACCATTCTTACTATGTATGTTTCTGTGTTCACAGCCTGAATGAATGTTTACTTATCTAAAAAGTTTCTTTGAAACTTACAGTTAATATGGATTAATTGTCTTTACAGAAGAATTGCTGGCTAAGCTGGAAGTTTATGAAGAGCAGCAGCGAAAGTTGCAAGCGGATCTTGAACAAGTTACGAAGAGGGCAGCTTCGCAGGTTTGCTATTGTTGGGAATAATGGAATCTAGCTTGAGTGATTATTAGCAGGAGTACTAAGTAGAGAAGCCAGTTAAAATTTGCTATGCTGAAAATCTGTTGCATTGTTAATAGTTAAAACAGTCTTAAAAGCCTGCATGTTTATGCTGACCATATTCTTTGACTCTGGCTAATACAAATACAAATCTGTGATAAGACCATACTCAATAAAGTTCTGGTTTGGAGGCTATATCTCTAAAAGGATATTGTAGAGTTGGACAAGATGAAGAAAGGACAGTCAAAATGATCAAAATGTTGAGGGAATTCCTTTGTGATGAAAAATTACAATGTGTGGGGCTATTTGGCTTAAGGAAAATGTGAACAAGTAATGGGTCTCAACCTGACACAGGTGCGGCCTCTCCCAAACTGTGGTATTACCTATAATAATAAATTTCACAACCAGATGCACTGTTCAGGTTTAACACAGCATTATATATCAGTATCTTCTGGCAGGTCTACCCAGATTATTTTTAAATTACGATTTGTAAAGTTTGTCTGGGTTGTTGTTAATATGTATCAGTACAGGTCAAGCATTCCTTATCTGCAATTGTTGTTGTTCATTCGTTCAGTCGTCTCCGACTCTTCGTGACCTCATGGACCAGCCTACGCCAGAGCTCCCTGTCGGCCGTTACCACCTCCAGCTCCCTCAAGGTCAGTCCAGTCACTTCAAGGATGCCATCCATCCATCTTGCCCTTGGTCGGCCCCTCTTCCTTTTGCCTTCCACTTTCCCCAGCATAATTGTCTTCTCTAAGCTTTCCTGTCTCCTCATGATGTGGCCAAAGTACTTCAACTTTGTCTCTAGTATCTTTCCCTCCAGTGAGCAGTCGGGCTTTATTTCCTGGAGGATGGACTGGTTGTATCTTCTCGCAGTCCAAGGCACTCTCAGCACTTTCCTCCAACACCACAGCTCAAAAGCATCGATCTTCCTTCGCTCAGCCTTCCCTAAGGTCCAGCTCTCACATCCGTAGGTGACTACAGGGAATACCATGGCTTTGACTAGGCGTATCTTTGTTGCCAGTCTGATGTCTCTACTCTTTACTATTTTATCGAGACTGGACATTGCTCTCCTCCCAAGAAGTAAGCGTCTTCTGATTTCCTGGCTACAGTCTGCATCTGCAGTAATCTTTGCATACAAGAAACAGTAATCTTTGCATACAGTCTGCATCTGCAGTAATCTTTGCATACTAGAAATACAAAGTCTGTCACGGCCTCCACAGTTTCTCCCTCTATTTTCCAGTTGTCAATCATTCTTGTTGCCATAATCTTGGGTTTTTTTACGTTTAGCTGCAACCCAGCTTTTGCGCTTTCTTCTTTCACCTTGATTAGAAGGCTCCTCAGCTCCTCCTCGCTTTCGGCCATCAGAGTGGTGTCATCTGCATATCTGAGGTTGTTAATGTTTCTTCCAGCAATTTTCACCCCAGCTTTGCATTCATCCAGCCCCGCACATTCTCGCATGATGTGTTCTGCATACAAGTTAAAAAGGTTGGGTGAGAGGATGCAGCCTTGCCGGACGCCTTTCCCAATCTTGAACCAGTCTGTTGTTCCGTGGTCAGTTCTACTGTTGCTACTTGGTCCTTGTACAGATTCCTCAGGAGAGAGACAAGGTGGCTTGGGATGCCTCCACCAAGAACTTGCCACAATTTATTATGATCCACACAGTCAAAGGCTTTAGAATAGTCAATGAAGCAGAAATAGATGTTTTTCTGAACCTCCCTGCCTTTCTCCATTATCCAGCGGATATTGGCAATTTGGTCTCTCGTTCCTCTGCCTTTTCTAAACCCAGCTTGAACATCTGGCAACTCTCGCTCCATGTATTGCTGGAATCTTCCTTGCAGGATCTTGAGCATTACCTTACTGGCATGAGAAATAAGGGCCACTGTACGGAAGTTTGAGCAGTCTTTCGCATTTCCCTTTTTTGGTATGGGGATATAAGTTGATTTTTTCCAGTCTGATGGCCATTCTTGTGTTTTCCATATTTGCTGACAAATGGCATGCATCACCTTGACAGCATCATCTTTTAAGATTTTAAACAGTTCAGCTGGGATCCCATCATCTCCTGCTGCCTTGTTGTTAGCAATGCTTCTTAAGGCCCATTCAACCTCACTCCTCAGGATGTCTGGTTCTAATTCATTCACCACACCGTCAAAGCTATCCTCGATATTGTTATCCTTCCTATACAGATTTTCTGTATAGTCTCGCCACCTTCTCTTGATCTCTTCAGCTTCTGTTAGGTCCCTGCCATCTTTGTTTCTTATCATACCAATTTTTGCCTGAAATTTACCTCCAATGTTTCTAATTTTCTGGAAGAGGTCTCTTGTCCTTCCTATTCTGTTGTCTTCTTCCACTTCCATGCATTGCTTATTTAAAAATAGTTCCTTATCTCTTCTGGCTAACCTCTGGAATTGCGCATTTAACTGGGCATATCTCCCCTTTTCACTGTTTCCTTTTGCTTTCCTCCTTTCTTGGGCTACTTCCAGTGTCTCAGTAGACAACCATTTTGCCTTCTTGGTTTTCTTTTTCTTTGGAACGTACTTTGTTGCCGCCTCCTGAACAATGTCGCGGACTTCTGTCCATAGTTCTTCTGGGACTCTGTTTACTAAATCTAGTCCTTCAAATCTGTTCTTCACTTCCACTGTATATTCGCTAGGAATGTTAGTGAGATCATATCTAACTGGTCTGTGTATTTTCCCTGATCTCTTTAGTTTTATTCTAAATTGGGCAATAAGAAGTTCGTGATCTGAGCTACAGTCAGCCCCAGGTCTTGCGTTTCACCGACTGGGTGGATGTCCGCCACCTTTGGCTGCAAAGGATGTAGTCAATCTGATTTCGGTGTTGACCGTCTGGTGAGGTCCATGTGTAAAGCCGTCTTTTAGGTTGTTGGAAGAGAGTATTCGTTATACACAGCGAGTTTTCCTGGCAAAATTCTATCAGCCTGCGTCCCGCTTCATTTTGTTCTCCCAGACCATGCTTGCCTGTGATCCAGTTGTCATTTGACTTCCCACCTTGGCATTCCAGTCTCCTGTAATGAAAATAATGTCTCTTTTTGGTGTATTATCCAGTAGGTCCTGCAGATCCTCATAGAACTGATCTACTTCTGCTTCTTCAGCAACTGTGGTTGGGGCGTATATTTGGATCACTGTAATGTTGAAAGGCTTTCCTTGCACTCGAATTGAGATCATTCTGTCATTTTTTGGGTTGTATCCAAGCACCGCTTTAGCGAATTTCTTATTAATTATGAAGGCTACTCCATTTCTTCGAATGTTCCTCTTGTCCGCAGTAGTAGATCTGGTGGTCATCTGATGTGAAGTGGCCCATTCCAGTCCATTTCAGTTCGCTGACCCCCAGAATGTCTATCTTTAGTCTTGACATCTTACCAATAACAACATCCAATTTGCCCTGGCTCATAGATCTTACATTCCAGGTTCCTATGGTGTGTTGATCTTTAGAGCATCGGATTCGTCGTTCACCTCCAGTACCGTCGGCCGCTAGCCTTCCTTTCGGCTTTGAGCTAGCTGCGTCATCACATCTGGGGCTAGTTGAACTTATCCTCCGCTCCTCCCCAGTAGCATTTTGGCCATCTTCCGACCTGGGAGTCCCATCTTCCAATGGCATACCGACATATCTCTGGTTGTACTGGTCCATTTAGTTTTCTTGGCAAGGATACTGGAGTGGTTTGCCATTGCCTTCCCCAGTGATCACGCTTGGTCTGACCTCTCTGCCACAACCGTCCCGTCTTGGGTGTCCCTTCACGGTTTCGCTCATGACATCATTGAGGTGCTCAAGCTCCAGCGCCCCGACAAGGCGGTGATCCTTTGCTGGAGTATCTGCAATTACCAAGTCCAAAATGCTCCAAAATTCAGAACTCGTGTACCTGTAATATATTTGTGAGCACAGGGAGAAATGCTTTCCTCCATTTCACAGAAACACATGTCTCTCTCTGAACAAATAACCAAGCAGAAGCGCCACAGTCACTACCTCAAAGAAAGAGGCAGGCAGCTGATGGCCCCACTGCTGCCTCCACTGCTGCTGCTGTCAATGTTGATAGAGATTAATGGGTTCCCATCCACAAAAGTCTTGCGTTAGAAAGGCACTGACTAGGATCCAGGCTCCAGCAATGATTGAGAGCAGGGAAGTGGCTGGGTTTTTTTTTTTGTGGGTTTTTTTTTTGCATGGGGCTCTCCTCCAGGCCAAGTTCAGCAGCTGCTGCCTTTAACCTCACTTTCACAGGGTTGTAGTAGTGGAGGATCAGCAGCATCAGCAGCTAGTGCAGGCACAATTTGTGCAAAGTTTGGCTGTGAAGAACGCAGCAGTGCCAGCTCCCTCCTTTCCGAGGCAGGGAAGCCCAAAGGATGTATATTTGCCAGCTGGGGTTCACCTCTGCTGCTGCCTCATGTCCTTTTTTATACAGGTATCAGTACTGTATTAAAAATATGAAAAAATCCTGAAGTATGGAACACTTCTGGTTCCAAGCACTTCAGATGATGGATAATCAACCTGCATATATATATTCTGTAACATTGCAATATGGTCTTTTAATTATGTTATGTTTTTGGCTGCTGTAGCCTGCCTCAGTCCATGGGGAGAGGCAGATAAGAAATGATGATGATATAAACAAAATGGTACTATTGTACTCATATGCTACTTGGGAGTTTCCCATGGTTGGCTAGTTTGTGACAGTGACACATATAGGGGGTGATTTAGCATGATTGTTTTTATGTTCTTAGATTGTATTTACAATTCATTGATTATTTAATTCATCTATTTTGAGCTTATTTTATATTCATGTCCCAACTTCACTTGTAGCCTAGTGAATCGGGCAGTGTAGATGAACTACAGAGTCGGCTTTTGGAGTGGCAAGAAATTGTAACTGAATCTGAAGATGTACACAATCAAATTAGAGAGGAAAAATCTGCAATGGCTCTAAGAATGGCACAGATTGAAGAAGAGAGAGAAGGTGAGTTAATCTGTTTGAGATGATGTGGAGATATTTTGTTAGGTTGCTAAATATTGAAAGGAAATTAACAGTTCTGTGCAAAACTTCATGCCAGATAGCAGCTGTTGCCTGATCATAAGAAATAGGCACTAGAACTATGTAAAGGAAGATGTAAAGAAATAAATTTGGAATTCTATTGAAGATTTTCTGTTGCCAGCTGATTTACAAAAGAAAAGGAAGCTTGGACTTTGGATATTTGGAGTAATGTTTGATCTGTCCGTATTTATTGAAATTGAAGTGATGCTTTGGAGAGCTATAATATTAGCAATGGAAAAAGGAGACTTGCTGGCAAAGTTACATTCAGTCTATTGGATTCATGACTAGTTTCTCAATTATCAAATACTATATCTTGAGCTTTTGAGTCCAGGTAAAATACATCATTTGAGGCAACTTGTGGCTGAAGCATTCTACAGGTTAAGCATCCCTTATCTGGAATTCTGGAATCCAACATTGTATCCACGAGTGGCTGAAAGAGTGACACCTTTGCTTTCTGATGGTTCAGTGTATAGAAACTGTGTTTCATGAACATTATGTACACTGCTATGTATAAAATTGCCGTAAGGCTATGTGTATACAGTATACATGAAACATAAATGAATTCCATGTTTATTTCTCGGATTTATACTCCACTTTTCTCCCAGAATAGGATTTAAGGAATGCTTTTAAAGACATGGCTCATATCTCCAAGGTTAGACTTAATTAAGTCCCATGTCTAAGATATCTCATTATGTGTATGACAGAAATCCAAGATCCAGACAAATATGAAATAAGGAATATGTCTGGCCCCACGTATTTTAGATAAGAGATATTAAACCTGTATATTGTATTCAAGCCCTTTTGTATTAATATGGTCAAATATTGATCTTCCTGTTTGTTTGGTCAGTATTTAATTTTGCATTTTCCCTTGGGTTTCGCATGACCTTTCTGTTTTGTTTCTCCCCCTTTGCGGTTAAACCTGATGAGCACATGGCGTCCCTTCCCCCTCCACTCCTAGCCTACACTGTGATTTGGTCAGCCACTGAGAACATAGTTTCCCATCAGTTTTGTGCATGCAGGATTCTGCAGCCACAGCAGCCTATGATGTAATGTTGTTGATTTTCCTTAGTGGGCATTTTTTTTGTGGGAAATCTTCAATAGTGCATTATAATTGCTGTTTGTGGTGCTGTGTGTTTTTCTTTTCTTTTTTTTCTTTTTTCTTTTTATTAACATAAGTAGCAAATGCTGATTTTTAACTTCATTTTCTTCCCTCTTGCAATACCTATACCTGCATTTATGTTAACAGAACCATCTTCATACCCTTTTTTACCTATAGCTGGCTCCATATTTACTTTGCAAGCTGTATAACTTATAATGTTATACTATAAGTATTTAAAATTTTATTCTCAGGCATTCTTTAAATATCCTTTAAAAAGAACAAATCATTAAGGAAACTGGCATTTTAGGAACTGAAATTTGAATAGATGTTGAGCTAAATGTACAAAATAAAATGTCGGCAATAAGTGCTACATTCATCTTTTTTTGGGGTGAAGTTCTTTCATGAAAACAGTTCAATTCTATTTGAGAATATGCCCTTTTACAGAAATGCATGGCATAGGCCCTTCGGAGAAGTACTGTAGTTAGGGCTTTGGATAGCCTAAATCTCTCTCTTGAGGATCTTGTGGTAGACCTACAGCATTAAAGAGTGCAATCCGATCAGTGTTAGCCAGTTTAAATATCCTCTTTATTTAATTTCGAGGACTTAAAATGGGATTGATGTTTTGAAGGCAAAAAAGGGAGAGAAGTTCCATAAAGTTAAAGGTGGCTGAAAAGGACAATCACTGCATTTCTCTGACTAGTCTAATTGAGCATTCATGATGAAATTCATAAAACTTGAAGGTGCTCTGTTTTATCGGAACACAGTTAAAATTCCTAAAAACAAACCACTCTCAGTTTTTAGTTATTTTTAATAGTGTTAATTACTTCTGTTCATTATGGTCCCCAAATGCAGTAAGCCATGATATTCATGTTTCACCCATCACACTACAGTGTTTGACCGTCCCTGCTGATACATAGTCCTAATGAAAGACTATTCATGGGTTACCAAATTGAATTTTCTATTTGGAATGATCAGCTTTTACATCTGACATAGTTTTTAAACTTGAGAAGAAAATCTTTATGAAGGACATTCAGTTAGTGGTTGCAAATTATCAGTAAGGTGATCGATTTTCCTTCCGTTGTTGTGTTTGATTTACAGATACTAAGACATCAAATAATGTATGAATACTAGGAAATGATTAAAACCCATACACCCTGATGGGTCACAAAGTGTCAGATGCAAAGTGTGCTTGTATCAAATATTCAAAATAAACCTCTGTGGCATATTAATTTACTATATGCTTGGACCCAGAGGCATGTATTGTGAATATCTTCAAATGGGTCATTTTTTCCAATCTTTCCTTTCCCCCATAGCTCGGTTCCACCCATCAATTGTGCTCTGTACAGTGGACATGGTGGTGCTGTGAACTGGAAGGGGAAAGAGGAATTGGTGAAAATCCCTACTCTGTGTTTCTTCTAGCTCCTAGTACATTCCAGTTACTTCCATCAATCTTTCCATTTCCAAGGCAATAACTTTAGACAAAAATCATAATTATGTGATAATAACTGAAACCTTGTTTACAAATGAATATTCATATTACAGTTAATCATCCCAGTCCAGAACTACATTGTAGTTATGAGGCATTCTTAACATTGCCATAATGCAATTCTACAAATTCCATCTAGTCTCTCCTTTTACCAGATCCCAGTACGTATGCCATGCCATTGTAAAAGGTCTTCCACTCTCAGGGTTGCCTTTTAAGCAGGTTGGGTGGACTGTAATGTGGAGATCTGACTGATGTAGAAAACCTGGTTACAGGCTGGGTTGTGCAGGACCCCTGACTGATTTGATATTTGATTTGAACAAAAAACTGAAAAATGTTCCTTCTATTTTGTTGTTTTCTGATTTTATGTTATTACTTTCATGTTGGTTGTCAGTATAAATCTGGATGCATAGCAAAGGAGAAACGTGTTTCAGGTCTTTGCATATCAAATACAAATGAGAAAAGGGACAAATGGAACAGCAGGTGTTATTTATTTATTCATCTGTTCAGTTTATACTTCATTTTTCCTCATTAGGATCTCTGGTGGGAAAAGTTAACAGGAATAGCCCATTATTAGGAAGCAGGTTAGTCGAAACAAACCTAAGCATGTCAATTAAGTCAGTGGAGATGGTTTGCCTATATGGGAACTACTCTTCTGACCAAAGTTGTACAGATACTAAAAATAAATTCTAAAAAAAGAAAATGGGTCAGTTTTTTAAATTGCTTCAGTAGCAGTCATTACCTACTAATTTGAAATGTTTAATACGCTTGTATGATAATAAATAGGTGTAGACAAAGGATGCCTTCTGTACCAAAGAAAATTATGTGTGCTTTCAAATATTGTACAAAAAAAAGTTTTCCTCCCAATACTGCATATAGGATATACCATACAGGGACCACATGCAATCTAAATATTTATTTATTTATTTATGACATTTATAGTCCACCTTTCTCAACCATATGGCGACTCAAGGTTGGTTACAGATTGGCACGATTCAGTGCCATGCATTCATAAAAGTGCGATTAAAAACAGTCAACATAACAATATAAAAACATATATAAAAACAATTGAAACATGTAGTCACAATACCTTTGTGTTTGTCACAATGACAGCTTATAGTTGTAGATAAAAGTACAGATAAGAGAAAAAATATAGAAGGTTCAGTGAACCTAACTCCTTAATCAGACTTCAGCATCATTATCATACACTTTCACTCGCGACCGAGTAAGATTGTCTTCCAAGTGTAGAGTTATGACATTGGGTCCGCATATGACTGTAGAGACCTATTCTGAATCCACATGGTCTTTTGCAGCGAGGACATACATTTCCAGATAGAAGGTATTTTCAACAAGAGTTTGCTTCATGTGCCTTCCTCTTGGCACATTTCTCCCTTTCTCTCTCTATTCATGCCTCTTCAAGAATCCACAGAACTGTTGGTAACAGCTGACCTCCGGTTAGAGTGCTTGAGGGCCAGGGCTTCCCAATTCTTGGTCTTTATGCCACATTTTTTGAGGTTAGCTTTAAGTCCATATTTAAGTCTCTTTTGCTGTCCAGCATCTCATTTTCTGTTCTTGAGTTGAGAGTATAGTAACTGCTTTGGGAGACAATGATTGGGCATTTGGACAATGTGGCCAGTCCAGCAAAATTGATGGTGAAAAATCATCGCTTCAGTGCTGGCGGTCTTCGTTTCTTCCAGCATAGGTTACAAAGTCTAGTTCATATAGCACAGTGGTTCTCAACCTGGGGTCCCCAGATATTTTTGGCCTACAACTCCCAGAAATCCCAGCCGGTTTACCAGCTGTTAGGATTTCTGGGAGTTGAAGGCCAAAAACATCTGGGGACCCCAGGTTGAGAACCACTGATATAGCATATAAAGTCTATACTTATACATCTTGGTGTTTCCCTCAGTAATATAGTTATAAATCTTTGAATAAATACACTGATTTGTTGAGGTTGAATAGTTGAAGTTTAGTTACTGCTTTATTAGCAAATAAAGTATGGAGCCAACTTTGCCTTCACGTTTTCATGCTGACTTGTCTGCTTTACATGAAATATCTTCCAAATAAACATGCTTTGTTAATCACACAAAACAGATGGGAATGTTTTTAAAATAAGCAAATAATAATCATTTATCATAATGGACTGCATTCATTTAAGCTTCTGAATTCTGAAATGATTGTGTGTTATTGTCCAATGAGTCTATATTATTTACTATCTAATGTTATATATGGCTTGATGCCAGGCTGAAGTGTGTGGTGACTTCCACATAGTACCGCAATAAGGGCACCCTTTAATATTAAAAACCAAACAAATGGGTTGCTAAGGTTTCATAAAAATATATGCACAATTGAATAAATAAGGTACTTAGCACACATATCAGCTACATTTAAATATAATTGACTTAATTTGAACCTAATTTAAACCTTATTTGAATAGATAAGTGGCTGCCCTCTTTGTCAGTATCCATTTACAAATTCTTCTTTATTTGGAAAGTAATGCCTGTGAGATTTATACCCCCTGTGACTTCTTTTAAAAGAATCGCATATGGATAGTTTTCATATGCTCTGAGGGGGAAATCACTAGGTGGATAATGATATGGAGTGCATCTATACCCTATTCCTGCCAATTCTTCATAAACCCCTGTCTGTATCACTGACCCTTTTTCAATGTCTACAACATGTTTGTCTGATGTGTGATTGCTTTCCTGTGGCACAAAACTGATTGAGGATGACTGGTTCTTTCCTGGCTGCTCTGATCCAGCCATAGTCTCAGGGCAGCAGGAGCTGGAGGAGGAACTGGCCACAGGTCAAGGGATTGGCAGAATGCATCCGGAGAGAAGAAAGATGGCCCAGTCCAGCAGGAAACTCCAGGTAAGTTGGTTGCATATTTTTGTTGATGTCAGCATAAGTAGCAAGTGCACTCTTCTTGCATTCTAGGTGTATGTGGCATCTTAATATGGATAGTTGCAAAAGTGAATATGTTACCTGCGCTCTTCATTAATCTAAGGATAGTTTCAAGAATAAAGTGTTGTTATCCTCAGATGTTACAATTTGGATTTTGCAGGCTATTAATTTAAGGTTTCTCTCCCTGTCCTCCATTCAGGAAGATTATGATTTTGATGGAAAGCAGTGCTTTGAAGAGCTGAATGTGACTTTGGATAGCACTGATTCAGCTGAAGGAGAAAATATGGGAGGTTGGTGGCCAGAGTACACTTCTTCTAACACAGGTGTGGCAACCACTAGACAGTTTATTAAAGCATGCACCAACATCTGTTTTGTCTTATTTTTGTTTTGCAAATTCAACTAACAAACCATGTTGTGTTGTGTTTGTATCTGTTGAATTTTTTTGGCTTGTCTTTTTGTTTCAATTTGAAGCATGTGCGTGCTGGATGAACTGTCTAGTTTTGGTTCAAAACTAGAACTTAGTCGTGATTTAACACCTTGGATTCTGAGTTGTGAATAAAGAGTGTTGTCATTCATGGTAAGATTTTTTTTAAGTTCTTGTGAAAACACCTTCATAGCCAGACATTATTTTCAATTGTTTTTCATGCCCTGTTTGTTAAGCTATATTTGTATCTGTAGCAAAAAACTACCTGTTTTATTGTTTTTTAGAAAGTACATTTTAATTGCTTTAGAATTTGTAATAAAAATCGCATCTTTCAGGGAATGCATGTGGCCTGTTAAGGAAATTAAGGCCACATTTATATGTATTTAAGGTTGCTTTGATTAGTGAGATTAATGCGTTTTGGATAATTCGACATTTATTATGTTATATTTTATTATATCCTTCTTTCAAGGAAGTTGAGCCAGCATTTACAGTTCCCTCTTACTTCTATTTTATCCATACAGTAGTTTTGTGAGTTTGGTTAGGCTCAAAGATATTAATCTCCTAAGCCAGAACTTGCTTCAGTGTTTGGTTCTATACAAGCATAATTAGTAGAGTTCAGATCAATTATTTACATTGCTAACACTTCCATCTGAATTATTTTGCATACTGGGATGTGAAAATAAAGTCTCCCTTGTTGCTATTATAGTACAACTTCGAAGCACAAGAGAAATCCTGGAGATTTCAGTTGAAAAATTTAATTATATTTAAAAAACTACAATATAGAAATGGACATATTGTGCCCTTCAAATGTTTGACTGTGATTCCCATCATCACTTGTCAGTATAGCCAATATTGTGCAATGATGGGAATTGTAGTCCAACAACATTGGAGGGGCACATGTTGTCTACTTTTTCTATTAAAAACCCAGATAACTCCCCCTCCCAAATTGTATAGTATAGTGATCTCACCTGGCATGTTTAAAAAGGAAATATTTCATATTTAACCCATTATGTAATATTTGCCAAGTATAGAAAGTTCAGTATAAAATAGTTGAAGCATCATTTGTGTTTAAATAGCCACTACATTTTTCTTATAGTAGAGAAAAATCCTGCAGGAACATAAAGTGCGGTGCAACTGTTGTAAAAAGAAGAAAAAATCTTATGTCTAAGATTTAAAACCTGCTCATGGAATCTGAACTCTTCAAGGAAGGAGAGACTGGATATGGTTACAAAAATCCTTTCTGCACTCAGATATTCATCACTTATCAAGATATCTGACTGAAGAAAGGGCTGAAGTTGTGTTCAGCTGAGTGTGGTTAAGATTTCCTATCATATAAGGTAGAGTCCGATGAGCTCCGTGTATATAATTTTTTCTATGCCTGTATATGCTTCTAGCCATTGCCAAAAGCATTGTACACAAACTGTATAACATGAAAAAGATAGTGATGTTCTGTCAGTTTGTTATTTTAATTGAGTAAAAAATCCCTTGATTAATGAGACACTTGATTTATTAAAAGATTGCTAGAAGTAGCAGCTAAAAATGAAAAAAAAAATCAAGTCAGTATCACCTTAGAAGAGATATTCCCATAATTGTTCAGATGGGCTTGATGAAACGTTCTCATTTATAAGACAAAGAATTCTTCAGAATTGTTGTCAGATTTAGTCAATAGGATAATTATTTAAAAGTCATGATTTGATTGGACCTGACACTGCTAATAAAATGACCTTCGATTTAAATAGGTTTACGGACCGTAGTGGAAGAGTTAGAATTGGAAAGAAATCAGTTGCAAGAACAAATTCTCTTTTTGGAAGAACGTTGTCGGGACTTTGAAGATCGATTGCAGCTCCAAGGCAGAATGGAAGCTCTACAGGTATGTGTTAGGAAGTGGAGGTCTCTCTTCTGTTCTGTCAATTTGTGTGATTTTCTATCAGTCTCAATCTGAAGGAAATTAGACTGGATGCTTAAATAGCTTAGATGAATGTAAGGATGGAAGGATAAAGTGCACCTGGGGGACTGGATTAATTCCCTTTCCTCAAATAGTCCTTTTAATGTAAATAATAGATCTCCACTTTCCATAATTTGTATAGAAATTGGACAGGTATGTGGATAAAATACCTGTCTTGCAAGTTCTCCTTGTTGTAAGAATAGCTGTTCCCCATCACTCCTGTCCGTGTCACAGCCATTTGGTGTGATTCTGATTTTGAACCGTTTTGTACTATAAAGCAGTTTTTGCTTTCCAGGGTTGGGGTGCAACCTCAGAATATTTAATAACTTCTGTAGAAATACTTCTCTGGAGCCAATTCTGGGGGGTGGTGTTCATCTCCCTTTTCTAAGCCGAAGAGCTGGCATCCTTAGACACCTCCAAGGTTATGTGGCCGGCATGACTGCATGGAGCGCCATTACTTTCCCGCCGGAGTGGTACCTATTGATCTACTCACCCTTGCATGTTTTTGAACTGCTAGGTTGGCAGAAACTGAGCCTAAAGTGAGAGCTCACCCTGGTACCCAGATATGAACTGCAAACCTTTGGGTCAGCAAGTTCTACAGCTCAGTGGTTTAACCAGGGGTTCAGTTGGTTAGCCAGTTGCTTTTTAAGTAGGTGCGGGGGGGGGGGGGGGGGGGGTTTGGAATCAATATAGAAACTTAAGGAAACGCTTTTGTAATAATTTTTTTACCTAAAAGGAAAAGAGAAAATTTTACTTAGATTTTAAATGTCTCCAAAACCCATTTCTCAAGTGACTTAAAATTTCTGTGTTTCAGCTGACATGTATTTTTAGTGGTAGTTGTAAAGATTCCTTACCTTTCCAGCCTGGATGGCAGGGCCTAGGAGAAACAGGCCGGTTAGTTGCAGCTTCAGTGGGCCTGGCAGAGGGCAGCAGTAGCCATTTTAGTTTAGGGAAAACACCATTTTAGAGAGGGGGAGTGTCCTAGGCCTGAGTTAGCATCAGAACAGCCAGGATTGGTTTAGAGAAGGGGGCGGAATTTAGCAAGGTTTGGAGGGAAAGAAGGAGGCTTTTTCAGTGAGTCTGTTGTTGTTAGAGATTAGAGTAGGAAGGTAGTTTAGGAGTTCGTGTTTTGAGAATAGTTAAGGGAAGGCAGTTTGCCTTAGGTTTGCCAGCGAATAGAAGCTGTAGCAAACTGGAAGAGCTATTTAGGAGAGATAGCTGGTTTGTAGTTAGCTAGGCCACAGTTTTAGGGTAGCTAAGCTACAGTTGTCTCTTGATAGAGATTCAGCTCCTGTTAAGAGTACTTGGTTTAAAGAAAAGAAAATCTCTGTGTTGTAACAAAGAAAGAACCATTTACATGTAACCATTACGCTTGCAAGACAAACCAGAATTTCTCTGTAACCGCCAAGATTCTAAACAGCATTTACTTCTTTCTTGTATTTTTATCAATAAACTTTCCTTGTTTATTTTAAAACTTAAAAAACCTGAGTCCAGTGTGCCTTTTGTGGCTATAGTCCCTTTCTCAAACAATCTTAATTGTTTTCCTTTAAAGAAGCAAATAAGAAGCACAGTGCTTGGTGGTCCTAAAAACCCTTTTAAGATTTTAAACAGCTAGGGTGTTCCTGTGCATTTCAGTGTTGGTGGCAGCGAAAGTTAATTAGAGAAACATCCCCTCATAACATTTATATTGGTGCCAGTGAATTCTTTATATTGAAGAGAGACAGTTGGTGGGATCTGTTTGCCCCCCTGTCAAGTTATATATTGTTGGTGCCTTATCTACCGAGTCTTTATAATTGGTGGCAGCGATGCGGGATTGATCAATAGCAATATCTTTATAATAGTAACCTCTGGTTACCTGAAGTCTTCAAGGCAGAAAGTTTCTGAATGCTGTGATACATCCACAGAAACATATTGAGAGATGAATTATTGTAATTAATCTTAAGACCTGTGAGTTGCAAAAAAGAAAAGAAAAAAGAAAGAGTATTTTATTGCTGGACTCTGATTCTGCAGAGTTAGTTATGTACCACAGGATCTTGTCAGCAAATAGGTGGACCCCCACTTGGTTAGTGTTGTGGTTTTGTGGTGTTTTGTTGTTTTATTATATTTGTACAAATCTGTATGTGAATTGTAAACTAGAATTTTAATTAATGAATATCTTCAAATAATTAAAGTTGAAAAGGTAGGAATGTGGATTGATTGCCAAAATAGATGATTACAGATGTGCAGACTGGGAATTGCTTGTGATTCAGGTTCTGTTACTGGAAGGAATAATTCCTGCAAGTTACATCTGATTTGCCCAGTGGCTGCTCTTTTTGCTCCTCTGTGTTTGCAAGTGCAATTATTTATTGACATGAGTTTCCTCTCCACCTCCTTTCTGTCTGCTCTTGACTGAGATATAGTGTGATTAAGAAATGCTTGTGAATGTTCTGACATCAAAAGGTTAAACTGTGAACTAAACACAAAAGTCTTCTAGGTAGGTTATAGTGAATGCCATGAAGTGAAAGGGTAGCACTATTATAGCAAAGACCCAGGGAATGTTATGAACAATCCACTACAACGCAAAAACATGTCAGTGAAATTTAACAGTTTAAGACAACTGAAATTTGAGACACCTGGAGCACACAATAAACTAGGGTATCAAAGCTTCATGTAAACAGCCCACAATTTTAAATACCTGATCTGTTAATCTATGCATGTGACTAACAGATCCCTTAACATACTAAAATGCATATATGTAATGGTGGGCTACCGCATTTTTCCGAAACAGTAATGTCACTGTATATTTGCATTGTAACAAAGCATTTCAATACAGGTGGCATTTGGTGTAGAGGAAGAAGGGCTTCTATTGAGGGCTGTACAGGTGTGTTTTGCGCCTTTTGAATTGATGGCTTATTTTTCTTAGAAGTGATTTTTGGTATTTTATCTAACCTACCCGGCATTTAACAGCGATGTTGAGTTTGTCTGAGCTGCTGCTGTTTTTGCTTGCTGTCTGTTTGCAGTTTTATCTTACACTCTAATTTTATGAAGCTGGGTAGACTAACGTATTTAGATTGCATAACAAATCAACTGTGTCAGAGGGGCTTGCTTCATGAGTATGACTTGCATTCAACAATTTATTATACACCTTGCTACAAATTGTCAGTTGGTTTTTGACAAATATAAGAAAATAAGGGGCCAGGAATGGATTCTACATCACCTATTTTCCAATTAAAGTGCTGCTGGACCTCAAATTATGGGGTTTAAAAATCATATCTGGATTTTTGAGCCAATTTCATGTTAGAAGTAAGCTCCCACACAGTTGAGCTTAGCATGGTGTGATTTGGTTTTTTCGGGTGTGATAATCACATGACAAGATCACCATGGGAAGAACCTTTAAAAAGGAATTATGTTGTCCTTGTTTGATGGTACTTCTTTTGATAATAGTTAGCAAACTATATAAGAAAGAATCTAGTTTCCCATTTTAAATAATACTAGTGTTTTAGTCATTGAAAGTGCTTCTTATGTATATAATTTTCTTACAGAATGAGAATGATCGTTTGCAGTCCCAGCTTACGCAGCTGCGCAACCAGCATGCACGTGATGCAGAGAAACATCAAGTTCTTGTTTCCAGTTTCAATGAACAACTTAAAGGGTAAAAGAAAACATAAAGTGTGCCCCGAACCTAGCTTGCTCTACATTCTTTTTCAATGTAGGAAGTAATGGGAAGCGAAGGATATCCCTTTCCCCAAATATTACGTCTGGTTTCCTTTTTATGAACGAGTCTGACTTATGCTCTAATAACCCACTTTTTGGGTCACTGCAGCAGAATTCTGTTCTGAGCACAGAGTGACCACTCCTAATCTACTCCTAATCCCCTTCCTGCTCCAAAGCCTTTTTAATTTTCTGGAAAGATGGGGAAGCAGCAGAGAAAAGTCAGCTATTGTTCTTTAGCTGAATGTACAACAATAGCATCATGCTCAGGGTGCTGCTGGGAACCCCTGGGCGGTTTTTGCGATGCCTGTCACCATATGTCCAGCTAAAGTAAATAGTTGCATGCATGCTGCCCTGCTGTTTTGGCAGCACTGTTTTGCACTGAAAAGTGGGGTTTGGAGGTGAGGTTGCCGCAGGAGACACATCACAAGTGTGTGCTGGAACATGTGTCTCTGTAATCAGCATGGCAGGTGGTTGTACTGGATGGCCCCTGTGATCTCTTCCAACTCTTTGATTGTATAATTCTAATACATTTATATAGTGCTGGGAATTATATAATGAATGATTAATTTTAATTAGTGTTGTTAATTTTAAATGTATAGCAAAACAATTTGTATGTATTTTAAACACACAAACCAGAAAGAACTTGCCAAGTTGAAAAGCCTATCCGATTCCGCAGGAGTTGCGCACTACACTTTGCCAGTTTTGTTGCAAATGGGAGGGATTGGGTAGCTTGAGCCAAAAGAATCAGACTTGTCACTTTGTGAGAGTCCACCTGCTGTCAGAGACCTGAGCATATGAATAATCCTTACCTTAATGTTTTTTGATTTGTTCAGAGCTTAATTTATTTTATTGACAGACTGAATGAAAGGAATGGCTTGCTTGAAAGTTTGCTTGGGGAAAAGGATCAAAAGATTTCAAGTACAACAGAAAAACTGGAACAGATAGAATACATGAGAAGTTCACTTCAAGAGAGAGACCTTCTAAACAAGGAACTGAGTGAAAAGCTTTTGCAAACCGAACAAAAGGTGAGCTGTGCTGCTTGAGTGCGTCAGAACATACCTCTGGCATGTGTTCAGCTGTTCATAGAGCACTTCATGTTTTCCTGCTTGCATCACCTGTAAGCCCGTAAGGGCCAGAATCCTGTTGGTGTGTTATATCAGTATACCAGGCTGCAATATTGTGTAGCAGCTGAAGGGATTGATAGCGGAAGCTGCCTTGGATCCCATCCCAGAAGAAAGGCAGGTTATAAATTCAATAAATAGATTTTCAAAATTGTTACCAAAGAAAGCTGTCATAGCAACTCCTGAACTGGCAGAGCAATTTACTCTTACAATAATACCATCCAGTTTGTGTGGATCCAGAGCCATCTTGTTCCTGCTCCCATTACTACATGCCACCTACATCAGCCTAGGCAGAATTCTGCCTGATATCATTGCTGTATTACTGAAAAGGGTGGAATGAACTAAGTTATTTGTTTCTACAACAATTTAGCCTTTTAGAATGACCTTGGTGAAATGGAAATGAGAGTACAGTTTTATAATGGGATCACAAATCCCACTGGTTTCAACTGACATTCTTCCTTTGTAATAGTGATGCATTGTAGCTCTACCTATGGCAGACAAATTCCAATGATACCTTGTACTTAAACCCAGGTGAATGTGTTGAATTCAATCCATTATATGTTGGATTCTGGCATTAGTCATCATATTCAAGAGGAATTTATTTTAATCGTGTACAGTAGGAAGATGCTGTTAACCCAGGTCGTTAACTTTGGTAAAATATTTTTTTATCAATAATGATCAACTTATTTGTGGTGAAACAAAATAGATTTTTTTATATATAACCTGATTCACTATTGTAAACAAAAGACTCTCAAAACTGGGCTGGATTTGTCTGGTTGAGTTGAAAAGGAAGTAACTGTGAACTTACTGCTGTTTTCTTACATCTGGGTCTTACAAGAAATATGTTCTTATTGAAAGGAAGGGAAATTATTCCAGCTTCTTTCTTTGCTTGCATAGATCTAGGTCAAATCAATATTTATTGGTATACTGGAAATATTCTGCAAGTCTATTTTAGAAATCACACTTCAAATGACCATATTGTCCAGTTCACATAATGGCTTGGTACTCAGACTTCTACTAGAGCTTGCATATCATATTTCCGCTCTCTTCCTAATTAGCAATAACTACACCTTTGGTGTCACATACAACAGTTACATTTAACCATAGTTTGCTGTGAGATTAGAGACTGAAACTAGCCTTTAGTCCTGGTTTAATTTTCTGACCTCAGGGCATATCAATTCACAGTGGTGGAAGTAGGAGGAAATGGGTGAATCATACAATCATGCAAGATGCTTAGAATGCTATCCAACTGTGCCAAACAGGTGAGTGAAACTCAGTGAAAACTAACATAACTGTATACGGCTGAGTCAGTTTAGTAGAAGTTATTGTACATCAAAAATTGCACCCAGCTGAGATTAAATACATGTTCAGCTATGAAGCGAATTTATTTGGGTTATCCGGTCTTAACAAAGATCATCCTAGTTTATATTTCAACATTTCATTAATCTTGATTGCATATAATGTTAAATGAAGTTTTTTTTTCATCCCTCTAGTTGGAAGATGCCTTAAAGAAGTGCAGTGCTTATGGCCTGGAGTGTGCAGAACAGAAAGCCCTTATCAGTGACCTAACTGAAAAAGTGGCTGCCTTTAAAGAAAAGGTAATTTTAAAAACTGAATGGAAAGTTTATGTGTGACTTCAGGTGTAACTGCCATTCTAGTCATATGCATTATATATAAACAGTACACATAATTTTCAAATATAATAATATGTTTGGGAGAAAACCAGAAAACTGTTATACAGTTCCAAAAAAACTTAAATCTTGGTCCTTTAAAAAACAAACTGAAGTTATTGAAAAAGTGATGTATTAGGGTAAGGTGGGGCAGAGCAAAAGGAAACAGTTTCTTGGAGTAGCAGCATGTCCCTAGGGTGCCACAACTATGACAGAGAGAGAGATAGCATCATTGAATGAATCTTAAATTGTTCCTTTTATTTTTCTTTTCAGACTGTGAAACAGGATGCTGCTATAGAAGTAATACGATTGGAGCTTGAGCAGACAAATGAAGAACTTGATAGATTGAACACAAGCCATTTAGAAGAGAGATCTCAACTTATTCAAGACCTTCAGAGTCGGGAAAGAGAAATTGACAACCTCAAAGAAGTTGTAACTGAAAAAGACAAAGAAATTACTGCTCTTTCTTCCAGTATGACTGAGTACTCTGAACAAATTAATATTCTGAAATGCCAGATCAAGTGCAAAGAGGATGACATACGAGAAATGGAAGGTGCTCTGTCCAGGGTTGAAAGGGAAGCCCAGTTGTTGAAAGATGTACAAACTGCTGATGTGAAGGATGCAAGCAACAAGATTTCAGAACTTTCACAGCAGCTAAACACAGTGGAATCTGAGCTGGCAAAGGAGAGAATTGAAAATGAAGCCAGAACCAAAGAAAATGAGGACTTGTTTAAGCAAATCAAAGAGTCCAACAAAACAATAAAAGAACTTAATTTGGAAATCAAGACCCATGATGTTACTTATACCAATAAACTCATGGAGTGTGAATCCCAAATTAAATTGCTTAAAGAACAGATAAGCAAATCAACGGAGAAGTTGCACGAAACAGAGAGAAAATATAAGGAAGAAATGGAACATCTCAAATCCCAGCTTGATGAACATGTTTCTGCCAAGGAAAATCTGAATACCTTGCTAAAAGAAAGAGAAAACAAAGAGCAAAGTTTTGCGAATGAACTGAAATCAGTGAAAGATTCGTACAATCAACTAACTTTAGAAAATGCTAAAAAAGATGAAGAGTTAGCCAACTTATCCAGGCAGCTTGCTGAACATACTGAACGTCTAGAGATTGCCAAAAAATCTTTGCAGGAAAAAAAAGAGATTATAATTTCATTAAAAGATAAACTTAAAACCGTAGAGCAGCAAAATGAGAAGGAAAAATTCAAGTTAGCTGAGGAGCTGAACAATAAGGAAGTTAAGTTAACAGAAATTAATAATAAGCTGCATGAGAAATATGAAATAATTACTAAACTGGAAACAGAAAGACAGGCTAGCATCCTCATAAATAGCCAATTTCAGGCAGCTCTTGAGCAGAAGGAAAAAGAGTTTGCAGGTCAGCTTAAAAGTATTGAAGATCTCAGCAGTGAGGTGCATACCATGGAGAGGGAGAAACAACAATTAATCAGTGAGAATGAGAGTTTGTCTAAATTACTGGATCTAAAAGAATGTGAACTGTTGAAGCGTGCTCAGTCTATGACTGAAATGGAGAGTAAGATGTCTGTCGCTGCCATTGAACACCAAAGAATACTTTCAGAAGTTAGTCATGATAAAGAGACATTTAAAAACAAGGTGGAAGAACTGTCAAACCTTGTAAAACAAAAAGAAAATTTAGTTGCAGAGCAGTTAATAGAAAAACAAAAGGAGTGTGCCCTGTTAGCAGATCAGCTCTCTAAAAGCAGAGAGCGGACAGAACAGTTAAGTGAAGAAATAAAAATGTTTAGCATTCAGTTGCAAGATGTCAAAGACAGAGTGGTGGAAAAAGAAGGATTGTTAAGTCAAAAAGAGTCAGAATGTAGTAAAATGGCTCTACAGCTTAGTCAAGAGAAAGAAAAAGTTTCATCATTATGGAAACAAGTTCAGGACATAAAAATGGAGCTTGAAGTTAAAAGCAAATCTCTAGATGAAAAAAGCAGGCATAATGATAATTTACTTAGACAAATAGAAGAAAAACAAGTCAATATGGTAGAACTGGAGAGAGAGGTAGAAAGGCTTCAAGATGATGGTGTCCAATTTTCTCATCAGCTTGAAGAAAAAGACTCTGTTGTGTCATCTCAAAGGCTAGAGCTTGAGGAACTTCAAAAGCAGATTGCCAAGAAAATGGAAGAGTGCACAGCATTAAGTGACCAGATAGTATTATTAGTCAAAGAAGTAGACATTTTGAAGTGTGAAAAGGACAGTGCTTTGGCTATTTGCAGTGCAAAATCAAGTGAGTGTGATGCTTTACAGCATCAATTAACACAACATCACAGTGAAATTGTGTCCACAAAACATGAAGCTCATATGTTGAAATTAGAAAATGAAAAAATAAAAGCAGATATTGAAACAATAAATGCTACATTTCTGAAAAAGTGTGAGGGAGTAATTCCCTTAAATGTGCAGTTGTCTCAGCAAGGTTACAGTGTTTTAGCCTTCACAGACCAAATTGATAACTTGGTCAGTGAAATAAAAACTTTAAAATGTAATTTCCATGCTAAAGAGACCCTCCTTTTCCAAAAGGAAGCTGTGATTGAGCAAATGAAAGAAAAGAAAGATGCAGGTGAAAAGACATACTTGCAGATTGTTTCAGATTTGCAAAGCCAAGTACAGGTTTTACATTGTGATATTGATCAACTTAGGCAAGAGGTACAAGGAAAAGAAAACGAATTGAAGAAACAAACCCAAGAATTAAAATTGCTGAAAAATAAATCTGAGGAATCTGATTTGCTTAGAGTTCAACTGTCTGAGAATATGGAAATAATTTCTAACCTTCAGAGTCAGATTGAAAACATGACCAAAAAGACTGAAGAATTAAGTCAGTCAATTACACAGAAAGATAACTTTTTAAAACAAAAGGAGGAAGAATGTGTTAATTTGCAAGCCTGCATTTCTGAGTCTTCCTCTGTGCAGCAGAAACATGTACAATCATTGATATCTGAAGCAGAACAGTTAAGAGCAGTCATTTCTGAAAAAGAGTCCATGGTGAATAATACTTTATTGCTTAACAATACATTGAAGACTGGACTTCAGGAGAAAGAAACGGAATGTGAAATGTCGAGGAAGCAAGTTAAAGATTTGGAAGAATCAAACTTTAATCTAAAAAAAGAAATAAATGATCAGAAGAACATTATAAACAACATTAACCAGGCACTGGCAGAAAAAGAAGCTTCTCTTTTGAGTAATGCCTGTCTTGTGGAAAAACTAAGAGAGGACTTAAACACAAATGAAGAAAAATTGCAATTGATTTCTCAGCTTCATGGTCAAATCAATGAAATGACCAAAGAAATCCAAAAGTCAAAAGAACTAGCACAGGAAAAAGAGGAAGCTTTCTTGTCACTGCAGGACAAATTTGCTGCTCAGTATGAACAAAGAAACGAACTCAGTGCTACTCTGAATAAAAATGAGGACTATATTTCTGAATTGGTAAATTCTTTAGATCAGAAGGATTTGAGTGTGAAGCAAGCTGAAAGCAAGGTTCGGGTTCTTAGTAATGAGATTGAGCAACTTAGAGAAGAGCTACAAAAAAACTCAGCTACACTTAAAAAGCTTTTGCAAGAGAAGGATGAAAATATTGCAGTTAGTCAGAAGAAACTTGACACTTTGTCAGCTGAATTGGAATCTGCCAAATCAGAGTACCAGAAAACATTGGAACAAGTTGAATTATGGCAGCAAAATGTTCAAAACAGAGAGAGTGAGTTGCAGGTTTTACAGGAAAAATGCACCCAGCAAGCTAAGCATATTGAGTACTTAAATTCTGAGCTCAGTGTTTTAAATTCTAAGTCTCAAGAGCATCAAGATCATATACTTTTAATGGAAAAGCTGGAACAACAGGTAAAGTCTTTAATGAAAGACAAAACTCTTTTGCAGGAGAACTTTGATAAGCTCAGTATGGAAAATGAGCAACTGGTTAAGAATTCAAAAGAACTGAAAGACCTTAATGAAAAATTAGAAAGCAGTGAGAATGAATCACGAATGCATGTACATGCCATCACTTTGCAGCTGGAGAATGAGAAAGAGCAGTTGCAGATGCAGGTTAGTGTGAAGGGTAAAGAAGTTGATGAATTAAAGCTTAGGGTTGAAAAGCTAGAACATGGTCTTCTTGAGTCAGAAAGGGGATATGTGACTGAACTTGGTAGGGCAACACAACAAAATGAAATTAGTCTTAAACAACTGAATGATTCAGAAAGGGAACTGAAATCCAAAGATGCTCAGATTCAGTTTTTACAACAAGAACAGGACGTGATTAAGAAAGAGCTTACCAGATACTTGTGTGCATTATCACACAGTGGGTATTTCATCAAAGATAGTGATAGTGATGCTTGTCGGCAAGTAACTGAAAGTAAGGCTATTTTGGAAAAGTTATCTACTCTAATAGATAAGATTCTTAACCAAGAAGCTGAAGCAGAGGCACTGCAACGATCCCTGCTAGAGAGAGAGAAAGAGATGTATCACTTGAATATGCAGTTAGAAAGTATGGAGTCCTTGAGGGAGGAGAAAGAACAGATACAGAATCAGTTGGAGAGGGTCAGAGATACTAATCAATCAGAGATGGAATATTTGTCAAATGAACTGAGTACTGCAAAGGAGGCATTATATAAGCAGAAGTCTCTTTGTGAAGAAAAGGACACAGAATTAACAGACATGAAGAAGAGGGTTAGTGTTCTCCAAGAAAAAAGTGATAAATTGGAAAAAGAACTTGAAAACAATTGCAAGACATTGAACACCCAATGTCAAAAAGAAGCAAAACTTGCAGAAGAACTACAGTACAAAAACCAGGTGATAGAAAACCTAATTTCTCAAAGTAGCCAACAGAAAGATTTGATTTCTACTCTAAGCCAGCAGCTGAAAGAAAAGGATTGTGCAGTTACTCAAGTCATGGAATCTTTATCTAACGAGATGGTAAAGTTTTCTGATGAAAAAAACGCACTTACTATCAAACTACAGCAATTGGAAGCTAGTCAAACTAGCATAATAGAAGAAAAAATAGAAAAATATAAAAAGGAAAGTGAACTCTGTCAAGTTATGTTAACTGAAAAGGAAGAAACAATTAAAGAATTACTGGATGAGAAGGCACAAATAAATGTTTTTTTGGAAAAAATAAGTCAAGAAAAAGATAATCTGAAAAAGAAGCTTCAAGCAGCTTTGATAGTGAGGAAGGATTTAATGCAAAAAATTGAGAATCTTGAAAAAACCCATCAAGAATTTACAGAAAGAGAGTATAAAAAAACACAAGGCATACTTGAACAGATGGATGAAGTAACAAAGCAGGTTAAAAGTGCTGAAGCTCTTAATAGAAATCTGGAATCTCAACTTGAAGGACTAAAAGGAAAATTGTTAGAAAAAGATGCTAAAATATACGATATAAGTGAACTATTAACCACTAAGACAATGCACTTGGAAGAGTTACAGAAGAATTTTACAGAAATAAAAGTTGCCCTTGCTGAACAAAAAATCACGTCTGATAAGAATTTAATTTGTCTACAGGAGAAAGATTCTCATCTTCAACAAAAGCAGTCTGAGCTCACTGAGAGAGAGCGAATGTATGGAGAGGAACGTTCTCAGCTTTTCTTAACCATAGAACACCTCAAAGCTGATATAGCCAAGAAAGAAGAAACATGTAAACAAATGAATGAAACAGAAGATACATTGCATGCTGGAGGTTCTTGTGGAGATAGTACACATTCCCTTAGTGAAACTCATCAGTTGCAGAAAGAAAAGGAAATCTTGCAAAAGAAACTCCAAGCACTGCTTGTGGCCCGTAAAGAAAGCGCTAAAAAAAATCAAAAAATAAAAGAAGAACGTGATACACTACTAGCAAGGATTAATAAAATAACAAAGGAATTTGAAATCATACAAACAGAATATAAAGCACTCCAAGCCGTCAATCAGAAAAAGTGTGAAGAATTCGACTCTAATCTGTTGCTTTTATGCTCTCTTCAGAAAACATTGGCATCTTCTGAAGCTCTGCCTCACAGTGAAAATGCTGAAAAGAAAACCATGGAATCGGAGGAGCTTAATGCAAAGGGCCATGCTATGTTAGAAGAATCAGAGAATATGATAAGTAAAATAGTAGTCAAAGAAGAGGATGATATGGCAAAAATTAGTAATGGCTATATGAAATTAATAAATGAAAAAGAAAAATTTCAAGAAGAGCTAAAAGTGAAGTCATTAGAACTTGATAGGAAAGAACAAGAAGCAGCAAAACTGAAGACCTCTATTGAACATCTGGAGCACAAATATAAGAAAGACAAAGAGAATATGCTGGTTGAGAGAAATCAACTTCAACAACAATTAGACCTGTATAAAAATGAACTGGTAAGTGTTAGGGCTATGATTGATAGTGTAAACTCTGAAAAGGATGTGTTCAAGAAAACTGAAGACACTCACCTGTTCAGTCTGGAAGAAATTGAAAATTTGAAGCATGATATTCAACAAGCGAACACCCAGATATCAGAGAAAGATGAAGAGATCAGATATTTGCAAAATACTCTTAAGGATCTCAAAGGCAAGTTTGATCACGGAAACGAAATAATGAAAGAAGTTTTACAGCTGCAGCGAAGTTTAGAGGAGAGTCAAGAAGAAGCAAAGCGTTTTAGAACAGCCTTTGAAAGAACAAGGCAAGAGAGAGAAGAGTTCTTAAACAACATGGAAAGGTCAAATACAAACTTACTCAATATGAAAGAGGAGCTAAGACATGCCAGTGAGGAAAACAAGGAACTATCAATGGAGCTAAACAAGTTGCGTGAGAAGGTTTTACCAATTTCTAATTCAGGCAAAAATGTGGCAGTATGTGTAGGAGATAATAAACAGAACACTGGTATGCAGCTGCATCCAGACAATGTATTGCAAAACAGAGATCAAGAAACAGAGAATTCTATAACACTGCTAAATGTCTCTCCCATAGAAAAAGAATCACCAGATGCCTCTCATATTGGAAGAATAACATTAACAGAAAGGACAGATCAGGCACCAGTAGGAATGACTCTTGCAAAGATGGGAAAGAAAGAAAATGGAAGAAATGATGAACCACAAGGACAAAAAGATGATACTGAAGAAAAAAGCAGAGAACGACTTCAGAGAAAGCTCCAGGTTGCTTTGATATCACGTAAAGAAGCTCTGAAAGAAAACAAAATCCTAAAAGATAAAATAGAATCACTAATACTTGAAAACAAACAACTGGTTGAAAAGACCGAAGACCTTGGACTTCTGCTATCTCAGTTGAACTCAGAAAAACAGGAACTGAGGGCTGTGTTGTATAAAGAGGAGATGCTTGCGACAGAAAATGCTAGGTTGTTAATTGAAAATGAAAACTTAACTGCTGCATGTGAAAGTCTAAAATCTACTATGGAAACTATAGTCCAAGAGAAGGAAGCATTTTCATTTCAGTTGAATTCCTTAAAAGATTCTCAGACAGTTGAATTAACAAGTTGGAAAGCTAAACACAGTGAATTAAAGCAGGAGTATGAGTCACTGCTTCAGGCCTATGAGAATATTAGTAGTAAAATAGCAGAAATGAGACAAATTATTGATGTCACTAGAAAAGAAAAGCAGGATATTCTTCACCGGGTGAAAGAAAGTGAAGCTGAGAAACAGGAGGCTGAAAAGCTGCTTCAAAGAGCCGCTGATGAAAATATACATGTGAAAGAACAGTTAAAGCAGTTAGCTGAATCTAAACAGCAGGAAATCAAGGAGTTGCTGATTGAAGCAGAAAAACAAGCTTCTGAGCACAATTTGTGCTTGGAAGAATATCAGAAAAATATTGATGAATGTATTCTTCAGGTCAAACAACTAACAGAGGAAAATAAGCAATTAAGAGACATTTCTGAAACATTAAAGCAGACCCTAGAGAAAAATCAGAAGGAAAATGAGGTCCTTTCTCAGGATTTTACTGTAACAAAATCTGCTTTGAGGGACCTCCAGGCACAGTTGGAATTGGCCGAGCTTGATGCACAGTCTAAAGTCAACGATGCTCTTAATGAGAGGGAGTCATTATTAAATCACATTCATTTGGTAAATGAAGGTATCTCAGAAAAGGAAAAAACTTTAAGGATCTTAAAGGAAGAGAATAAAATTATGTCAGAAAAGTTAAAAGGTGCTGAAGAATCCCTGTGTAAGAAAGAAAACTCATTATCAAAGTTAGAAAATGATTGTAAAAATCTTAACCAAGAAATACTAAGCCTGGGTGAAAAAATTAAGATATTAGAAGATGACAAATGTCTCTTACAGGAAGAATTAGAGAATGTTCAAGAAACATTTTATAAAGTGAAAAATGAGAGAGAATGTTTAGAAACCGAGTTGCTCAATCACAGCAAAAAATTGGATCAAGCAACAGACAAACTGAAATCCAAACAAATTCAAATCAGCTTACTTTCCCAGCAGTTGGATGATTTAAAAAATGAGAAATCCAATGTAATTAGAGAGAAAGAAGAACAACAGCTGCATATTGTCAGAGTATTTGAAGAAAAAGTAAAATCTGTTCAGAGAGACAATAGTGGAACAAAAAATAAAACAAAAGAATTGCAAGAACTTCTCAGGGAAAAACAACAAGAGATCAACCAATTGCAAAAAGATTCTATTAAATATCAGGAGATGATTTTAGACTTGGAAAAATCTATGAAATTAGCACAGTCAAAAAGTGAAAAAATTGAGAAAGATTTAAAAAATGCAGAAGAGAAGCTTAGCAAATCAAATGAAGAAATACAAAAGTTAACTGAAAAGCTGTCTTTACAAAAAAGTTTGTTGGATAAATCTAAAGCTGAAGTAGAGCAGTTAGAAAATGAGAACCTAAATAATAAAAAAGAACTTAAAAAGAAAGAAAACCAAGTATTAAATCAGAAAAAAGAATATGAAAGCCAAATGAAATCTGATCTTCAGCATCTTAAAGTAATTTGGCAGAAAGAATGGATCAGCTTAGAAGAAAAATGCAGTACCCTTCAAAGAGAGAAAGAAAGAATCCAGAGTGAACACCATCAGCTGCGAGAAGAAATTGATATAAGAGACACTCAGAATAAGAAACTTCAGACTGAACTAAATGATGCTTTAGCCAGGTTGGGTGCTTTTGCCAAGTGCATGTCATCCCTTCAGAATGACAGGGAAAGAGTCATTGGTGAAATGAAAGTTTGGGAGAAACAGTTCAAAGAGGCAATTGAAAATAAACAGCAACAGATAGAGACCCACAATCTGACAATAGCATCTTTACAAGAAGAATTAAAGGCACACATATCTCGAGTTCAAGAACTGGAGCACAAAGGTTCTGTCCTTGAAGAACCTAAGAACATAGTACAAACCACTGTGGATTCACACCATTTTGATGAGCTTTCGAGAATTAAAGCAGAAAATGTCCTTCTTCAAAACAGGCAACATGAACTAGCAACTGCTCTGAAATTAAAAGAAGAATCTTTTCAGGCACTTATCAAAGAAAAAAAGTCTTCTCCACAGCTGATAAAAAATAATTCTAAAGAAAAGGAGATGGAAGCACTAACATATGATTTGACTAGAAAAGAACAGGAAGTGCAGCAACTTACTTTGGAAAAAAGTGAGATCCAAGCTGAGTTGGAAAAACAAGTTGCTATTTCTGATCACATGAAAGCCATGCTGAATACGAAAGATACAGAGATTTCACTGCTGATTTCATCGAAGGACACAGAAATTTCAGACTATCTTGCTCAAATACAAGCTCAGCATAGACAGCAAGTTTCAGATTTTGAGCAGCAGATAAAGTCTCTGCAGGTGGCCAAAGGGCAATCTGATGAAAGTTGCCAGAGGATGAAAAATGAATTGAAAAATCTTCAGAGAAAAGCAGACAAAGCAGTTCAAGACAAGGTTGAGATTGCTAGTACAATGGATGCCTTTAAAAAGGCAATGTCTTCTCTCCAGAATGACAGGGATTCCCTGGTTTTGCAACACAAAAGTCTAGAGTGTGAGCACAAAGTTGATTTATATGAGAAAGAGAGACTTGTAGTTGACAATGCTAATGAAAACCGAATGTTGAAACAAGAACTAAGGAAGCTACGGAATGAATTAGATGATCTTCATTCTGAAAACGCAATGCTCACTGCACAGCTTATAAAGTACAGGGAAGATCTGAACCAGGTTCTGTCACTAAAAGATAATCAGTTGAAAGAATTACTTACACAGAAATTGGAAAACATTAAGATTCTTGAACAGGAAAAACTTATACTTCAGAAAAAAATGAAAGAGATGGAGCTGGCTGTGAAAGTACAGGAGGAGAACATGGAGTCTCTGAGACTGGAAAATATAAAGTTAACATCAAAAGCTCAAGACTTGGAGATTGTGATTGCTTCCATAAACAAAGAGAGGTTGGCTTCTGAATCAAGGCAGAAGTTCTCACATCAGGAGGGAGACAGACTTGATCAACAGAAGGGATTTTCAGTCAACAGCCAGCTTGAAGAAAAGCTGGAACAAAGATTACAAGAGCTCAAGCAAATGGTTGGCAAAAATACAAAAGATACAGAGCTGGATCCTAAGTTAATGGAAAATGAAGCTATTGAATTGCCACAAAAGAGACTGTTAGAAGTTCAGTTTCAGAATAAAGAGCTGCGGTCTCAAATTGAATCCTTTGGAAAAGCCATGACAGCTCTGCAAGATGATAGGGAGAGATTATTAGAGGACTTCAAGGTACTTCAGAACAAGTATATTTCTGAGCTTGGATCTGAAAAAAGAAGAGCTAACAAGCTTGAAGCTGAGCTCAGTGACTTCAAATCAAATGTCTTCAGTGTGCTCAAAGAAAATGCTCTTTGGAATCAGGAGTCACCAGAAGCTAAAAGCAAGATCACTCTTGACCAGCTTACTGATGAACTAGAAAAACTATGTAAGCTGTTAAACACTCAAAATCTTGAAATTAACAGACTCTCCTCTGAGTGTGAGAAATACGCTCAGCAGATGGATGCCTTTTCTAAGGCTATGGCCAGTCTGCAAGATGACCGAGAAAGACATTTGCAGGAGCTCCGCAAGCTGAGAGTAGTTCATGAATCTAAACAGGGCTCAAGTTCAATTTCCTTACCCTCTGACTACGCCAGCGAGCTTAGTTCTCTTAAGCATAATTTTGAGATGCTTCAGGTGGATAGGGACAGATTGGTAAGTTCTTTTAGGTGAGATATCTCACAGTATTAATGGAAAAAAAGATACCAAAAGGACAGCTACAATCTTGAGTATACTTACTGGGGAGTGTGACCCTGTGGATATTGGGACTTCTTCATATTTATTATGTACAGGACCACAATATTAATGTCTTTTCAGATATAATAAATCTGAAGTTATTTGCTGAATAAATAATACCATACTTATTTTCATATATATAATATTTTTAAAACAGTTGTCTTCTTTAGACGTATTGACTGATAGTCATAAACTCTTCTTCCATAGGTAAAAGAAGGAGCAAATGTAGCAGCATCTGAGATAGCAAAACTAAAAGCCAAAGTTGATGATCTTGAAAGAGATTTGAACCAGAAAAAAACTTTCCAAGATGAAGCTGAGAAAGAAAGAGCATCATACCAAAATGAACTAGTTGCCTTGCGGTAAAGTGTATTTTCAACTTTGAACAGTAAAAAGTCTTATGAATATTCCCTTTTAAAAATAGTGTGGAAGTAATAGGATACACTATGTAACATGATTTTGTTCCCGGGTTATGTCATTTCTTAATTGGTTCTATCATAAAAACATGGAAAAAAGTTGATTAAACTGCAAAAACTTTGTTTTTGCGAACTGCACAAAAGGTTAAAAATTGCATATGAAAGGTTAAAAATGGCACAAAATTGAAGTTTCTGGAGTATAACAACTACTTGATCAAGTCAAAGTAAGCACCACACAATTAAAAGGGAAATAGCACTTTCCAACCAGAAACAGAATATTTTGTCAAATTTTGTTTCATAGTGTTATAGATAGAGAATATATTTTATGTGTATGTCATGTTTCTACTAACTAGTACAGCACAAACATGAGCACTGATGCCTATAAAAATGTTATATCCTAGGAAGCTTATAATATAACAATGGGAGGTGGGAGCAAGCTAGGAACAGAATTTAAAACAGTAACAGGAGTCTTCAACCAACCTAGTATTTGGTGAAAGTTAGACTTGATCAAAAATAGATACTGTTTTGATTTCAACTTTAAAATCCACTCACCTTTCTTTCTAACCAGAACATTGTTAAATGTCGTTTCCAGCGCTCAAAGCCTGATGAGGTCTGATGCAGCATTATAGTTCTCCAAAATGATAGATCGAAAGACCACCCATTCTTCTATTCCATAAATTAGAGATTTCCCCATTTTTTGTTCCTTTGGGGGAGGGGTTTGATGTCCTCTTCACATGTGCTTCTGTACACTTGCACTGAATGGCATATATTACAAAACTGAAGCTACAAGTGCTAAAATGGGTCAGCAAATAGCTTTGTTTGATCATTGTGACATACATTCAGTCATTTGGACAGGTGGTTGCAATATATGTAGTGTACCCTAAGGAGTAGTGTCCAGTGTCCTGTAGATTAGGTCCATCCATTTTAGTATTTGCCACACTATCTCTGGGGTTTCTTTTTCTTTTAGAGGAGTTCTGTGGCTTCTCATTGAATAATATAATAACAACAAAACTTAATTCCAACAAACAAAAAAGGGGACATTGAATGCTTCAGTGTAACAACAGATACAAACATAACAGCTCAAAGTAACTCCACTAATGTCAGCAACTTATAGCATGACATCTATAAATTAAATAAAATGTAACTTATTAAAAATCATATCTAATTTAAAACTGAAATATAAAACATCCACATATATTTACAGGAGCCAACAAAGACTCTCTAAGATATGTGAGTTAATTATGTGGCCAGTGATGTTAACAGGGCAAACATAGTCTAATAAAGCCCAAATAGAATAATTGTGTTCAGTCAAAGGTCTAGTGGCAGTCTCTGATCTTCTAATCCTCCCTCTCTCCATATACTAAACCCCAGGATGTTTTCTATTATGAACCAATGCTTTCGGTGTATAGTGTATTTATAATATTTTGTATTTATATAAAATAATATATATTTAAAAATGTATTTGAATGTAAGATAGCAATGGAGACAGTCTATGGTCAGTGTTATTTTTGTCACAATTCTGAATGGGATTGACCAGCTGTCTTTAAAAAAATCCCTTAGGTACTACATGCAATTTATATTCTCTATCAATAACTTATTTTGAAAATAAACCAGACTCCTTTTGAATTCTTCCTCATTGAAACAGTTCTATTTTAACCTGCAGAATTTGCCTTAGAGGAGATTGTGTCCATTTGGTCTGGGATGTGAGCTACTGAAACTGAGATTGGTGTTGCCATCAGTAGACTTTCTATATAGGAAGATAAATGAATCTCTGTGGTGTTGAAACAAAAGTCAAGCTGCATGTTTTATGTTAATGAAATTGATTGTGTATTGAAATTATCCAAGAACTACTTCATTATCTCTCCAAATATAGAAATCATCATCCAGGAATCCAGCCCAAAATATTAGGGAAGTAGTACAAGTTAAAATGCATTTGGCATTTTAAAGTATAAATTTTGCTCATCAATAAGCATATGGAAACCAGTCTTCTTTTTCTGATGGAAATCAACTTGGCCAACAATGTAAAGTCCAACAAATGTCTTACAGACAATTTCATTGTACAAAATGGAGGAAACATCAAATGAATCAGTCATTTTGGATTTGATCCTAACGAACAGTTAATGGAGTGGAGGTAGCAATATCCTTGGGATCCTAACATTCCTCAAAAGACTGTTTGAAGCTATTAGGATTGGACAGACACTCTTATTTTGAATTACTGTACTTGATTGTATAATTGCTCAGAATTAGCTGCACCAATTTGGAAATTAAAATGATCTGAGCAGTACTGATGAAATTGTTTCATGATGTCTCAATGTTTTATGTCTAGAATGGAAAAAAATCTCCTTCGGGCAGAATCTCAGGCACTCCAGAATCAATTACAGGCAACTCTTGTAGACAAAGATCGCCAAATAGCAGAACTACAAAAGGTGCATTATGGAGTAGTACCTCAGGGATCTATATCTGCTGGCAATAACCACCCAACCAAGGTAACACAATCAACAAAGGAACTTTGCCAAATAACTAACCTGTTCGGAATATACAGCATGTCACATATTCTGCTAATAGTTCAATGTTTGTTTGCATACCTTTGTAAATAAAAATATATTGAATCATCCATCATAAAAATCTTTTATTAAATAGTAAGCGGAGTTAACTGTATGTGATTTTTAAAGTAGAGGTTTAGGTCTTTGTTTTTTTAAACAAAGATTCAGTCCTCCCTAGTTCTGTCCCATACAAACTAAAGACATTATATTGGAGGCTAAGCTAGCCAGGGTCAAGTCTACTTCATACTTAGATGGGAGACTACCAGGGAATGCAAGAATCTCTAGGTAGGACTAGAACAGAATCCTGTCTGGCAGCATGGAGAGCTGCTGATTCATACCAGTCAGTCGACTGCTCTGGACTAGATAAAGCAGTGGTCTCGCTCTGTGTAGGGCAGTTTCCTATGTTCCTTGCCCAACAGAATGAAGTGTCCGCTGCTTGGAACTGGAGTCCCAAAGCCCAGAAACAATTCTTCCTGCCACAGATTTTTCAGCTTCCAACCCTCCAATCTAGGTGTGTTGACTACAACACACTTAGATTATATTAGTTAAAATTTAAAGCCCTTGTAACTTCTACCACCAGGTGGCAGCAAGAAACAATATTAACATTTTCACATTGTTCCTTGAGATAGCAGTATTTATCTGTCAGTTCCAGGGCCAATTCCAACTCACTTGTTTAGTATTCCTCTACTGCTGATGAACAGTTAGCTGTCCACATTTGTGGATTTAATTATTTTCAGGTTTGATTATGGACTTTCTAGGAATCCCTGGGTTTTTCGGTGTGATTCTTTGGTCAGCTTCCAGTTTAGAAGGATGTAGAGATTGTCCAAGAGAATACTTATCTAGGCATTCGTAGGTCCTCCAGCCTTAGAGTCATGCAGGAGAACTAGAAATTCCTATAGATATGTTCTCTGATGTAAAAATACATATATAAGGGTTCTTTTATTCACATTTTTTTGCTTTTGTGATTCTTGAACCCTTAATCTCTGCAAAAGTGGAGGGTCTGCTGTACTTCAGGAAGAAGCCAATTTTGACTAAGTCAGGACTACCCTTGTTACAGAGAATAAATCCATGGAAACAGTTAAGGAACACAAATTAAGCGACATCAGTGTTCAGCTGCAAGAAAACTGAAAAATTTATGCCAAGACTCAAAATGAGAAGTCCCACAAGCCCATCTTCTTTTTTTGTTTTTACGATAATAGGAGAATAAGGTCAGCAATAGAAGAAACCCTTACAGTTAGCTCAAATGTTCCTTTCCCATGTCTCCCCCCCCCCCCCCCCGATTTAGCATTTACAGTTTTGAACAAATGTGAACTTAATATTTTGTAATGTGACAGAAAAATAAAAAACCATTTAGCATCCTGAATTCAGGTGAGGAAGTCAACTGTTCAGGCTGCATAGTGAAAATAAAGTCCTGTTTTTTTCCCACAACAAACCAAATTCACATATGTATTCACTTTGTGAGTCTTATATAGGTGTTCTAGGACAGATCAGTATGCTTGAGGCTAATGGTTAAACTTGGAGGTGCTTGGAGGTTGCATGATATCTGTGAGGCAGGTAATACTATATAGTATTTAACAATGATATATACTATGCCTCAAGTTAATCTGGTTTTTGTTCTTTAGAGTGAAATTAATGGCCTAGAAATGTTTTATATTAAAAGAACATTGTAATGTAAATATAAAAATACTATGCAACTTTTCCAATTTCTCTACCATTTCTTTAATTTGTTCAAGGGAGTAGAAACTGTTGCTCTTGTTGGGAGCACAAATGTTCCTGATCAGGTAAATCAGCTTCTGTCTGAGAGAAACCAGCTTCAAAATGAACTCCAGCGCTGCCTTCAGGAGATGCACCAGAGAGAGCTGCGATTTCAGCAGATAAATTCAAAGGTAAAGAATTAGATAGTGACTGGATAAATATGCTGCTCAGTATATATTTGAATTTAGCTTTTTCTGCCAGTACTTGAAAACATTACCTTTTTGAACAAGAACTCCTAAACTCTGGACTGCATGCAGAATATTCAGCAACCACTTTTCAACCTCTCATTTTCCCTTATTTATTTATTTATTTATTTAAAATATTTATATCCCGCCCTTCTCCCCATAAGGGGGACTCAGTGTCAGAACACTTAAGTTTATAGAATATGTGTCAGTTTATTACTCCTTTGTTCTGCTATGAACCAAAGAGAAAGAAATGTGCAAGTTTGTTGTTTTAAATAACACAAAATTGAACACAAAAAATTCTCTTTGGGCATTGGTTAGTAGACCAAGTCCAATGTTAAACTTGAGAGTGGAGTGAAATTGGTGTTTTACATGTTTCTAAAGACCCAAGAAAGACATCAACACAGTCCTAATTGAACAATGTTCTGCGTATAGTGGATCAGCGTTACATCTAAAGCTGCTTACACTTTTCTGCTCACAATCCCTTTCATCTTGAGAAATTTTTATGTGACTTTGGGTATCTAAATATATCAGTAGGTATAAGAATCAGACATTTGCTTATAACAAATCAGCATTTGTGAAGCTTGCTAAACAGGTTGATTTTCCTTTTTATGAAGTACAGCTGAAGCATTTTCTGCAGTCTACTGTAAATGTTTAAAACAGTCACGTGTTGACATTTAGAAATCCTTTACTGTTGCCAGATTTTTCAGGACCCCAACATTGAACTAATGGGACACTGTTTGGGATTGGAGTCCATGATTTAAGAAGCAGTGTCCTGGCAGAACTATTGTCAGCCAATATATAGGAGAGATTGTAATCTGAGAGATATCTTGTAGAGCAATATGTTGGTTTCAGACCGGGACATGGAACTGAGACAGCCATCGTCGCCTTAGTGGATGATCTCCACAGAGAGCTCGACAGGGGGAGTGTGTCCCTGTTGGTTCTCCTGGACCTCTCAGCGGCCTTTGATACCATAGACCACGGTATCCTTCCGGGGCGCCTTGCAGGGATGAGTCTTGGAGGGACTGTTCTGCAGTGGCTCCAGTCCTTCCTGGAGGGTCGTACCCAGAAGGTGTTGCTGGGGGACTCCTGCTCGGCTCCACAGCCATTGTCCTGTGGGGTCCCGCAGGACATTGTCCCCCATGTTGTTTAACATCTACATGAAGCCGCTGGGTGAGATCATCCGGAGTTTTGGAGTTTGATGCCATTTGTACGCAGATGGTGTCCAACTCTGTCACTCATTTCCACCTGATGCTAAGGAGGCTGTCCAAGTCCTGAACCGGTGCCTGGCCACTGTGACAGTCTGGATGAGGGCGAGCAAATTGAAGTTGAATCCAGACAAGACAGAGGTCCTCCTGGTCAGTCGCAAGGCCGAACAGGGTATAGGGTCACAACCTGTGCTGGACGGGGTCACACTCCCCTTGAAGGCACAGGTTCGCAGCTTGGGAGTTCTCCTGGATTCATCACTGAGCTTGGAATCCCAGGTTGCAGCGGTGGCCAGGGGGGCTTTCGCACAATTAAAACTTGTGCGCCAGCTGCGCCTGTACCTTGAGAAGTCAGACTTGGCCACGGTGGTCCACGCTCTCGTTACATCTAGAATAGACTACTGCAAAGCACTCTACGTGGGGTTGCCTTTGAAGACTACTCGGAAGCTTCAAATAGTCCAACGAGAGGCAGCCAGGTTAATAACTGGGGCGGCATACAGGGAGCATACAACTCCCATGTTACGTCAGCTCCACTGGCTGCCAGTTTGCTACCGGGCACAATTCAAAGTGCTGGCTTTGGCCTATAAAGCCCTAAACTGCCCCGGCCTAAATTACCTGACCAAACGCATCTCCCTCTATGTACCATCGCAGAGATTAAGATCCTCCGGGGAGGCCCTACTTTCCGTCCCGCCATTGTCACAGGCGCAATTGGTGGGGACGAGGGACAGGGCTTTCTCGGTGATTGCTCCCCGGCTATGGAACTCCCTTCCTTGTGAGATCAGGTCGGCCTCCTCCCTCCTGTCCTTTAGAAGGATGGTAAAAACTTGACTGTGGGACTAAGCTTTTGGGACAGGGCAATGAAACGACAATGGGAAAGATGACAGGGCCAATTGGATTTGATGCGGATGGCTAGGACGGTTTTAAATGGTTTATTTTAATATTTAGATAAAGGTTTTTTAATGTTTATGTATTATACCCAGGCATTGAATGTTTGCCATGTATATGTTGTGCTCCGCTCTGAGTCCCCTTTCAGGGTGAGAAGGGCGGAATATAAGTATTTTAAATAAATAATAAATAAATAGAACTAAGGAAGCAGAAAAATGACAAAATGAGAAAAGAGCTGGATTACACCAAATTCCAATTTCTCCTTCGTGGTCTCTGTGAAATGCGCACACATGGTAGTTGGTGCACTTATGCAGCAATCAGTGGAAACCTCTGGAAAGCCTTTAGGCTTGTGGCTATGGCCCCGCCCACCTTCCCCAGAAGGCATATAGGCTGTGGGAGAGGCTGTAGCCTCAGTTCCTTTTTCCCCCGCTGCCCTTGCAGCAGCAGTTAGGAACTTCTCTTCTTGTTCAAACTATTACGTATTTGGACTCTCTTCACGTGTTTTGACCCAGACTTCCCTATGAATATTCTTAGATACTCTGGTGTGCATGACCTGGTCTGGATATTATGGCCACTTCTATTTTCAAGAAATGTGTGTCTAGTGGGGGAAGCTCCCCAACACGGATGGGCACACCATGTGTCTCCTTTGATTGGGGGAGGCACATTTGGTGTAGTTCTGGCCTGCCTGTAGAGCGTTTAAAGCAAAGACACAGAAGAACTGTGAGGTGACAGCCAGAAATCATTTACTGTTGCCACACTTTTCAGGACCTGAACATTAAACTAATGGGACCCTATTTGGAGTTGGAGTCCATGGTTTAAGAAGCAGTGTCCTGGCAGAACCATCGTCAGGAGAGATTGTTATCTGAGAGATATCTTGCAGAGCAATATGTTGGTAGAACTAGGGAAGCAGAAAAATGACAGAATGTGCTGGATTACATCAAATTCCAATGTCTTCAGACACAGTGGAAGCATTAAAGTTTTCAAGACTGGCTGTGTACTTTCCAGCAACACTAATGTGAAAAGAGTTTAGATTTCAGATAGTTTTAGCTCCTCTAGTCTTAAATCAGCTTCATCAGAATTAAAAGTGGACTTTTCAGCCTCTTCTGTTCTCCTGCTATTGGGGTGGGGGTTATTTTTGAAACCCTACTGCCCTCCTGGGATATGAAACTAGGGAAAGAAAATTGGCCAAAACTGCTTAAAAGTCTTATGTGTTGTGATGCGCTTTCCTTTTTTCCTATTGATTTTATATAATTAGACTGAACCTACAAGTAATCTAATGTCCCATTTTTTCCCCTTCTTCCATGTCTGCACATTTAACAGAAAGGTCTGTTAACTACCTTGGAAAATTAGTTGCTCAGTACTTTACCTGGTCCATATCATTACAGGTAATGCAGTCAGTGGAAGAAAATGCTGTCTTGTCAGCCCAGCTAAAAACAGTATCCCAGACTTTGCGGGATAATCAGTTTCGTTACACTGACCTGCAGAATCGTTACTTGCGGCTTGAAAGGGAATATCAAGTGCAAGTTTCTTCTGTGCAAGGAAGTGCTCAGGTAAGAAAGCACACCATTTACTTCTCATTTGTTCATTCTGACTCTGGGGAGTCATCTTAGGCTAAAATATATATCTATAAAGGTATTATAATACAACAGATCACACTGGAATTAAAATGCTCACAAGCATAACTACTAGGCTGTTGCCATACAGCCAAACCACATTAAACATTCTGTAAGAAAACACAGGTCAATGTAAATTATCTTCATAAATGTGAGGCAGTTCTCCGAGCAGTAACCAAGCAACTAAAAGATGATAAAAATTAATCACAATGCCCACTGGGTTTGGCTAATTTGGCCAGCTGCTCCCTGCTTTTTATACTTTTGGATTTCCTACACTTTAGGATTTCCATACCTGGGGAGAGCACTGGAAGCTGGTAAATGGAGGGTTTTTTAAAATGCTAACTCCTTTTATTTATTTTCTCTCTAATTAAAAGCCCAATCGATCCTTAACCTTATAGGTATTAGGTATTAAAATCTGAAAGTATTATGTTACAATATCATCTGTAATACAAACCGTATCTGACACAAATGGAAGAAGTCATGGACCAAAATATGTTTGACATTATATCTCATTTTACTTATGACAGGAGCTTGAAATTCAGAGGAAGCTAAATGTTGCACTAACAAGTCCTTTTTGTGCAGTACAGCCATTCCTGATGTGCCAAATTTGAACCTTCTGATATGGAAAATAGATGTTTAGATTAACATTTTTTTCCTGTGCATATCCAACTTTCCAAGAGAGAAGACTCTAAGAATCATTTTGGAACTAGAACAAAATCTTTACTTGAGCTGATTGTTGTGCCTTATGTTATTTGATGGACTGAAGGTGGCCTACAACAGTTAAAATTAACATGGCTAAATATTCACTACATATATAAGGTTAAAATGTAATTAAACTATCAAAAAATAAAACCTGGTAGCAACATAAATAATTAAAAGGAAAAACACCCAGCACATTATGCAACGTCTTTTCCTCTTGAGCACCTCCCTGCAAAAAAGATAGCAAGGGGTGTGTGCCAATTTGACCTTAGTGGAAGGATGATATACTGTCTGGATGAGATGTGTTATAATTAACATGCCTTATTGGATATTTTTTAATGTGTTGTGATTTGCTCTTTTGATTTGTTTCTTTTGATTTAACTTTTTGAAAGTGAGATGATACTATGTATGTTGTTCTCCCTGTTGTAAGCTGTCTCCAGTCCCCTTGGGGAGAGAGGGCAGGATATAAATAAAGTATTATTATTATTATTATTATTATTATTATTATTATTATTATTATTATTATTATTAAGGACATTTCAGAGCCTTGGAGCATCCGCTGAGAGATTTCTCACAAATACTTCCCATTAAATCTGAAAACATATGCAGCTGACATGGGAGAATATAGCCCCTCAAATTAACTGCACTTGAGCTGTATGGGATCAATTCTTTCCATTGTTCCCAGAATCTGGATGGAAACCATGGATCAAATGTACCTATGTTCTAGATTAAAAACTATAATTTTTTTCACTAAGTTGTAATTCAAGCTGAATAACATCTGTTAACATCTAATGATATTTTGAACAGTTTTTACCTGACTATCACATCAATATTGCTGTATTTAGGGTGAACCTCAAGGAGAAGTTCCTCCAGGAGCTCCCCAGGAAAGAGCTGCAGTTATTGTTGAAATAGACAACATGGAACTCAATGAACTCAGGAAAAGGTCTGCATTACTTCTAACTTGTACAGCAAGCAAGGGGTGAGGGGTGGGGACTTTTGCCCTGGAGATTAAATTCCAGTGTAAAAGGGATGTGGAGAATCCAGAAGCAACGGACAGAACTGTGAGCATGGAATAAGGCCAAAGCAAAGTTAATAAGCAAATCTTACCAGTGTGGACATTTCTCCACTAAGCATGCAAAGTGCAGTGTATGTTTTTGCCTGATGACTTCTCTGGAATAAGCTCATTGTAAAACTTGCAGTCTTAGAATGATTCAAAATGAGGTGAAAAAGCGCTTTCAACCAATAAAAAGATACCCCATAGGCTGCATCTCCCTTATGAGCCAAAGATTCCTCATTTAATGTTGTAAAATATGCTTCGTGGGGTGGGGTATAGCCTACAGTAATTTTGTCATGATAACAACCCAAGGCTTTAGGATAAGATTCTTGGACATTTAGAATTAGAATGATGTTAAATTGAACCATTGTGATAAACTTAAACAAGCAAAGGATGTTGGCTGGCTTTGTTTGCATGAGTTTCTGGGTTTATTCTAGGCTTGGAGAGATGGAAATGCAACATGATTCGTCACAACAGACTGTATCGCAGCTAACAGAAGCACTCTCTGAAGAGAGGAACAGGCGACAGGCTGCAGAAGAGGCCCTGGGGCTCTCTGAGGAAGAAATTAAAAGGTAGCAGTATGGGTGAAGGGGTTTCAGTCTGGTCTAAAAGTGCCTTGATCTTGGCAGCCAGACCTTAATGTTGTTGGAACAATTGTAACAGGTACCCACCTTCAGTTTATTGACAAATACAGCATTTAGCATTTGTTATTAAGTATAGTGTTGTGGACCAAAACCTAAAATATTTTTTTCTCTTTGTGTGTTGCAAATAATTTCTTCCCAATTGTATTGTGTACTGTAGCTCTCAAACCCCTTTTCTTTGGAGAATTATTTTCATATTGATATGTTACCTTTAGAGAGTCTACACATTGCAAAGGGTTGCCGTTGTCCTGTGGATTACTTCTATAGATTTTATTAAATGTATAATGAACTTGCTGTCCTGCTTGAAGAGAAGTATAAAAGATTTAATGTAGTAAAACAAACTGTAGTTCATCTAGAAGGGACTGGTGTCCAGATTAATTCAATGGGAGTTCAGCATAGATGGATGAATGGTATATTTTTAACATTTTTTAATTTTGCATTTGTTTTTAAGGCTTGAAATGAATTCTTACAGGTCAGCACCTAGAGACTATACTGTTCAGATGGATTCCGATGAGGAAAGGGAGGCCTTAATCATCAATACGAGTGAACATATTATTGTCCGAAAGGTAAACCTTTAAATCTAAATCTGTGATAAAGCTTTTCATTATTGGGAAAGCATATTGATACTGTTATCTGGAAATCTGAAATCCTCCAAAACCCCAAACTTTCTGCTGCCAGCCACCCACTTTTGCCTTTGGGGAATGGGGGCTAGTCACACCTTCAACTCCTGCTAAGTTTTCTCTTGATGGGAGGAAAAGGGGGAGGAAACAGGACTTCACTTACACAGGGGCTCTGTAAAAAGTGGACGTCCTGTATGCATTCCTGGCTATAAGCATATTTTCTGCCCTTTTAGCAAAGTAGTTGGAAAATTCCTCCCCGCATCTCTCTGATTTTCATTCTCTCTGGGCTGGATATAGGCAGCTACTGCATCCTTTTATTTGTTCCTTCTGCATTACGCTCAGGGCCCTTCCATACTGCCCCTTTATTTATCCCAGGTTATATGGCAGTGGGGACTCATATATTCCACTTTAAAGCATATAATCTGGGACAGTGTGGAAGGACCCTCAACTTCCCCCTTCAGAGAATCTCAGTGGTTTCCTCCACTTGCCTCCTGCCCCACTGTTTCTTTGTTTCTATTCTTTGTTAGTGATCCTGCCTTTCAGCTACCTTTTTCACTTGCCATCTCCTTCCATTTTAATTTTCCTATAATTTTATAAATGTAAATCATGACTCACCTGTAGCTGATTCTGCCACCCAAGGACTGTCAGCTGCGGATTCAATACTGTTGGTGTCATATTAAGGATTCAGTAACAATGAGAAGCAATGTTAATGAAGACTCCATGTGGTCACAGTAAATTACCAAATAGGCTATTATTGGTCCCAAAGGTCAGGCCAACTTACTGTAGTATCAAAAATATTTACTAGTTAGTGCAATGATTCTCATCCTGTCCCCAGATGTTTTGGCCTTTAATTCCAAGAAATCAAAACAGCTGGTAAACTGGCTGGGATTTCTGGGAGTTGTAGTTCAAAACATCTGGGGACCCACAGGTTGAGAACCACTGAGTTAGTGCATATCATGAAAATAGAATAGTTTTTGATAGACATGTTTTTTTTTCTGAACAGGTAAAAGGAGGTGCCCTTTCTCTCAAGAGATGGATTAGGGGACGAAGCCTTTACTGCTCCAAGTTGCTGACCTCAAGGGCGAAATCCCGATATCTCTTTCTGACTTATTTGGTGATCTTGCATCTTATGGTTTTCTTGTGCCTAACCGGCATCCTATAAATGCACTGAACCTGCTGTGTGAATTATTTTCCTTCAGAATAATGGTGTGCCAATTTGAGATAATGGACTTCTCATAAGCTGCTGTTACTGCTATGCACTGGACACAGTTGTATATATTCTCACTATAATGTGTGTGGGTTTTTTGAACTTCTTCCTTCATGAGTTTTAAATGTACATCACACTTGTTACAAAGTTGACCCGAGTTGCTCTTTAACAATGGGATACTATATTTGCTAAGAAAAAAAAGTCTTATCAATAAGAAGCTGCTGCAATTGGGATGTGTAATATTCTCTGGGAATATATAATGATTGAATCCTGTTGGATGGGTTGTACATTATATCTTTTCTATATATAAATTTATTTTAACAGAGTTAAACTATAAATTTGGTGGGAAGGGACTTCTCAGCTGTTGGATTTCTTGGCTTCTGGGTTATAACAAGAAGCATACAGAGTGCAATATGGGGTCAGGGAGCTGGAATCATAATGAGTTTCTCAACTTTAAATAAAATCTTAAGATCTGAAGATAATTCTCTTCTTTCCTTTGTGTTTAAAATGTTCGATATTTGCCGTAGTCTCTTTGTGAACCTTTGGTCACTGTCTCCTTGTAAAAAATGTCAAAGAATAGCGATGTGAGATGGAAAGGTGCTTTCTAGTTTTTAAGTGTTCAGATTTTTCTAACAATATCAATATAGACTTAGCTTAACTGCTTCAAATTTATCAGATTTGCAGATGACACCAAATTGGGAGGGATAGTTAATACCTCAGAGGATAGGATCAGAATCCAGAATGACTTTAATAGATTAGAAAGCTGGACCAAAATTAACAGAATGAATTTCAGCAGGGAGAAGTACATGGTACTACACTTTAGCAATAAAAATGAAATGCACAGGTATAGGATGGGTAACATCTGGCTTTAAAACAGTCTTAGTAGACCACAAGCTAAACATGGGGCAACAGTGTGATGTGGCAGCTAAAAAAGCCAATGCATCAACAGGAATATAGTGTTGAGATTAAGGGAAGTCATAGTCCTATTCTACTGGGTCCAGTTCTGGGCACCACAAGTCAAGAAGAATATTGACAAGCTGGAATGTGTTCAGAGAAGGATGACTAAAATGACCAAAGGTTTTGAAACCAAGTCCTTAGGGGAGAGGCTTGGGGAGCTAGGTATGTTTGGCTTGGAGAGAAGAAGGCTGAGAGGGGACATAAAAGTCATATTTATTTAAAAGTATGTCACGTTGAGTTGGAAGAGACCACATGGGCCATTCAGCCCAACCCCCTGCAGGAACACACAGTCAAAGCATTCCTGACAGATGGTCATCTAGCCTCAGCATACAAACCTCCAGAGAAGGAGGTTCCACCACTTTCCAAAGTAGCATATTCCACTGTCAACAGTAAATCAGGTTTTTCCTAACGTTTAGGTGGAATCTTTCCTACAATTTGAGTCCATTCTCCATTTCCTAGTCTCTAGAGCAGTAGAAAACAAGCTTTCCCGCTTCTCAATATGACATCGATTCAAATATTTAAACACTCATATCATGGTTTGGTCAGCCTTCTCTGGACATGTTCTAGCATGTCAATATTCTTGAGTTGTGGTGCTCAGAACTGGACACAGTATTCCAGGTGAGCTCTGACCAAAGCAGAATCAAATAGGACTATAACTTACTTCAATCTAGTTTTGGGCCAGTTCTCTAATCTGTTAAGATCACATTGTCCCAATTGATCCCAATTTTTTTTAAAATATCTTTATTGCAAAAATTTTCATCACACATATAAAACATCAGATGGTGGCGGATATATCGGGAGAGGGAAAGATACGGGAGGGTTGGTTGGGTGGGGAGGTGCTGGTGGTGGTTGTGAATGGGATTGGGCGTGGGGAGAAGGGCGGGAGGGTAGGTGGGGGGGGGGGAATATAAAATACAACGACTTCCAGATTGAACGGGCAGGTAATCCTCTCTTATATAACAAACATATTAACTGATAAAACATCAGCTCTCATCCTATACTATTTTCAGTTTCTTCAAGTATTTTTATATCTTCTCATCAATGTAGTCCTTAAAGTTGCTCCAATCGGTGCTCTTCTTTTTACTTCCATGGGCTCTCAGTCTCTGAGTTAGAAGATCCATATTCATCACATCATAAGATTTTATTAACCATTGTTCTGTTGTGGGGACCTCTCTGGTTTTCCAGAGTCTAGCCAGTTGGATTCTGGCCGCTGTAGAAAGGTGAAAAAGAATCTTACTTTCATTACTGTTTGCATCAAAATCATCATCTGTTAATCCTAAAAGGTAGTACTCAGGTTTTAGTGGAAATTTCCTTTTCAAGATTTTCTCTGTTTCTCTGTGGATCGTACGCCAAAAGGTTTTTACTTTTTTGCATCCCCACCACATATGAAAAAAGGTGCCAACATTTCTTTTACATTTCCAACATTTCGCTTCCACTTTCCCTTTACTGAACTTGGCTAGTTGTTCCGGGGTCAAATACCATCTAAAAAACAGTTTATACCAGTTCTCTTTATAGTCATTAGAATCCATGCATTTTAATTTCTCAGACCAAATTCTTTCCCATTCCTTAAAGTTAATTGGACGTCCTATGTCCTTCGCCCACTTCACCATATTTTCTTTAACTTGATCTTTTTCTGTTTCCCATCACAATAACACTTGGTATATTTTCCGTATGTGTTTTCCCTCCGAGTTTATAATTCCTTCCCAGAAAGGGGTTCCTGTTTCAAAACCGGTTTTATGATCTACGTTGTAACTTTCTCTTATCTGGTGATATTGAAACCAGGAGAGTGTATGATCATACTTTTTTAGTTCTTCCTGAGATTCCAGATATGGGTTGTCTGGGGTGCCTTTTATTATCTCTTTATAGGTCAACCATTTATCTCTACCAGCCCCTCTAATTTGACTGGCCTCATTTGGCAAGAACCAGAGTGGGACTTTTACATGGAATTTATTCTTATATATTTCCCAGATTTTTATAAGAGGGGATCTTACCAAATGATTTTCAAAGTTTCTGTCTTTTTTTGCTTTTCCTCTCCATAGGTAGTTATGCCACCCTTGCATTATATCATGTCCCTCCAGCGCTAACAGTTTTTTCTCCTTAAGACTGATCCATTCCTTAACCCAACATAAAGCTGATGCGTCGTGATAAAGTTGTAGGTTTGGGAGTGCTAATCCTCCCCTACTTTTGTTGTCACATAAGTTGATGAAGCTTACTCTATGTTTCCCCCCTTTCCATATGAATTTTAGAATATCTCTGTGCCAACTATCAAACGTTTTCCTTGTTTTAATAATGGGTATGGTCTGGAACAGATAGAGTAGATCGGGTAGGACATTCATTTGTATTGCCGCTATTCTCCCTAGCAAAGAGAGTTTTAGCGGCTCCCATCGCTTCAGTTTTTCTTTTATCGACAGCCATTTTTTTCGTAATTATTCTTATAGAGTTGCGTATTTTTGGCTGTTAATATAACTCCTAGGTATTTTACCTTCTCCACTATTCTAATTTTAGTTCTTTTTTGAAGCTCCTCTACTTTCTTTTTAGTGATGTTCTTTGTTAGCATTTGCGTTTTTTCTTTATTTATTCTCAGTCCCGCCACTGATCCATATGATTCCAATTCTGACCACCACTTATCTATGGTATTGATAGGATCTTCCAGCACGCAAACAATATCATCGGCATACGCCCGAATTTTGAATTTATATTTCCCTATTGTTAGTCCTTTTAGTTCTTCGTTTCTCCTTATGTTGTTCATTAGTAATTCTAAGGTCATTATAAAGATAAGGGGAGACAATGGACAACCCTGTCTGGTTCCCTTCTCAATGTTAAATCTGGATGATGTCTGGCCATTAATTACTATGTTTGCATGTTGTTGCGAGTACAAAGCTTCAATGGCTTTGTTAAAGTGGTAGCCCATGTCCATCTCTTTAAGTGTCTCTTTTATGAGGAACCAGTTGACGTTGTCGAACGCCTTTTCGGCGTCCACGAATAGGAAAGCCACTTCTTTGCTTATTTTTTTGTCATAATATTCTATTGCATCAACTATTATACGTATATTTTCCTTTATCTGACGTCTTGGTAAGAACCCTTTTTGTTCTTCCTCTATCCTCTCCGAAAGTATTTCTTTTAATCTGTTTGCAAGGATGCCTGTGAATATTTTATAGTCGTTGTTAAGGAGGGAGATGGGTCTATAATTTTTGGTTTTAGTATTATCTGTGTTTTCTTTGTGTATCAGCGTTATAAACGCTGACTTCCACGTGACAGGGATCACACCTTCTTCTAGTACCTTATTCATCACCTTTAACAGAGGATTTGCTAAAGGCTCTAGGAGGGTTTTGTAATACACTGCTGGGAGCCCGTCAGGACCAGGTGCTTTGCGTGTAGGTATCTTCTTTATCATTTTCTGTAGTTCTTCTATCGAGATTCTTTTATTTAATTTTTCTCTTTGGGCCTCTGTTATTTTTGTTATATTTTGTCTGCCTAAGAATTGCATCACCTCTTCTTTTGGTATCGCGTCTTCTTCATATAATTTCTTATAATATTTAACAAACTGTTCTAGTATGTCTGGCGTTTTATGGAAGGTCTTCTCATCCTCTCTTATCTGTATTATTCTACGGGATTGTTTTTTTAAGGCCAGCTTCCTGGCTAACCATCTGCTCACTCCGTTTGCATTTTCGAAGTAATCCTGCTTTACATATTTAAGTTTTTTTTCCAACTCCTCCAAGTTTAAGGTGTTTAGTTTCTTTCTTATTATATCTGTTTGATATCGTAATTTTAAGTTCAGTGGGTTTAGTTTGGTTTGCTTTTCTTTTTCCTCTAGCTCTTTTCTTAATTTCTCATAATCTTGTTTTTTTTCCCCTCTTTTCTCTGATTGCATGTCCTATAAAGTGGCCCCTTATGTAGGCTTTTGAGGTGTCCCAGATTGTTTCTATGTCGGTGTCTTTCTCCGTATTGAGGGTAAAAAATTCTTTTAGCAATTCCTTGTATCTGTTTTGATTATATTCTCCTTTAATTAGGTACTCATTTAATCTCCAATTAAGGGTTGGTTTTCCTTGTTCATTTTCTTGTATTACTAATAGGGTTGGGGCATGGTCAGATGTTAGTATTGACAATATTTTGGACCTCTCCACCTTATTTACTATGGATTTCGAACACCAAATCATGTCAATACGTGACCATGTTTGGTGGCGATTGGAGTAGAAAGTGTAATCAGTCTCCCTTTTGTTTTGCAACCTCCATATATCTACCACATCCAGCTCTTCCAATAGTTGAATACAGGATCTGGGAAGTACCCCTGTTGTGCCCTGGGGACCTTTTCCTTTTTTTTTAACAGATTTATCCCTTTGAGTGTCAACAACCCCATTAAAGTCCCCCATTATCAATATCTCATCATATTCATGTTCAATTACATAATTTCTCAATTTCTCCATAAATTCCACTTTCCCCCCGTTCGGCGCGTATATATTACATATAAGCAGTTTTTTCCCGTTTGTTTCTGCCATAACTCCCAGAATTCTTCCTTGTCCATCCT